AATTTAATTATATTTGGAGTAAATACTAAAAGTGTACTTTCTTTAATGGTCAGGCTTTTACTTTTTTTATATTTGGATTGTATGTAACTATGAATGTGTGAATATTGAATTCAAGAATTATTTGAATAGTTTGAATGTTTCAAATTTTTAAATGGTTCAATTAGAAAATTAAAATTTTCCAATAGTAATTGAAGAAATGGAACATTGGAATTGTAATTTAAAATTTATTTTGAAATAAAAAGAATGTTATTTACTTGTCATTAACCCTTAATTAACTTATTTGAATAGATTATGATTGTAATTATTTAACTATTCAAATAATTCAAACTATTTATGTAGTTTAAATATTTAATTTTAAGTTTGAATTAAATATTACTACTTAATTTATTTGGTAAAAATATTCACACACCAGCAATTGTAACTAAAAATGTATTCTAAATAAAAAAAAATATATCTACCTATAGGTACCTATAGGTAACAGAAATATTTGACCAAATTTTTTTAATAATAGATTATTAAAAAAATTTGGTCAAATATTTCTGTTTGGGATTGTTGACGAGTAAAGCTTTCATTCTTTTTCTTCATGCAGGATAAATCTTGTCTAATTGTTCCATTATTGCAGAAGTTAAAATTAATTATATTAAATTAAAATCAATTTATATTGTAGCAAAAAATAATTGGATTAAAAACTTTAAAAATAATTCTTGAAAAGGTTTGCTTATGAATTGTCTAGTTATTTATGTACATTAAAAATGTCAGACTTTCAGATAGAACAAATAAAGGGGTAAATGCAAGAATTCTTGCACTTAAGTGCCTAAGTCGCATTTTCAATTAAATTTACATTGTGGCTTCATCTAAGAGTGTTTCATGTAAGGTTTTAGGTGGTATTTTCAAAGTGGCAGAAATAATATTATGTGCCCAAGTTTGCATTTACTTCAATGGGAGTTTGCCTGGTTTTCAACTTATGTGAAAACTCTTGGATGAAGCCACAATAACAATTTAATTGAAAATGTGACTTAGACAATTCTTGCATTGACCCCTTCAAATAAAATAACTATAAAAATACTGTAAAAGATTATCACCCTGTAGTTCAAAATGCTATATTTATGTAAAAAAAAACATGGAAAGCACAAAACATTTGTAATATAATCAAGTTTTGAACTGTATGCTTACAAGTGTTTAATATGACCTCTTCCAGCTGCAAACATCCTGTAGATACTCAGCAGTTCCAATTCGTGTATTTAGCTTTTACAAATCTTGGGGCTCATAAACGTTATCTTTTATAAAGCCCCAGAGAAAGAAGTCGCACACTGTGATATCGGTTGAACATGTTGACTGTACATGAAGTGCCAAATTGTTGGGCCCTTTACGTCCGATCCACCGATGAGGGGGCTGTTCGTTCAATAACCTCCGCTCCACCAAATGCCAATGTAGTGGGGCCCAGGTCCAGTTTTCGCGTAGCTACATCAAATAATTTTAACAAAAACATACATTTTGACAAAGATTATAGGTACCTATATTTAACATTTTGTATAACAGCAACTAGTGTCGAGAAAAAAAACGTTAAAAACTGTTTTGATTGAAAGTTTTGAATAAAAACGCTTCAAAACTATTTAAATTCTATCAAAACTTGCATTAGTTAAACAACCCATAAGCAAAGAGTAAGAGTCTTTACTCTTTGCCATAGGTTTCATTAGGTACATAAAAAGAATTTTATTAACTACGTGTTTTCGGTAAACAGAGAAAAAAACCGATACGGTTTATCACACGTATTTTCTTATTTTAAACGCGGTAATGATGCTACAACTAACTCAAACTTGACTAAAAACACCTAATAAAATGTTAAAGCCGAAATTAACAAGTTTACTTACCTAAAACAAAGAAAATTTGGATTATAAAACTTCGTACACACCACTTCAACAACGCTGTCGGCCATTTGTAATTTCTCAAACCGAACAAGTTGGAAAAGACCAATCACAACAAAGTAAGAATCACGTGGTTAATAACTGGGGTTTGTCAAAAACAACTTGGGTTTCAACGCATGCTAGATTTATTTTACTGTTGCCTGTTGTCAAATTCCCCTTATACCCCCCTGCGTTTCACGGTGTTTGTTGTTTGCGCAGAGACATGGGAGCACAATACGCAAGCGCGTCGGCCTGGCCAATGATTCTCGAGAGTCTCATGTGACGTAGTCTAAAATAGTGGATATCCATTAGATATACATTAGATATCCATGAAAACTTACATAAAATTATACTTCTAATTTCATAGGTTGTATCTCATAAACATAATGCTTAAAAAACGTCTAGAATAATTTTAACTGAAACAATCCTTTTTTATCTTTGGCTCTAGATATGTAGTTATAATATCTATGTGGACATCCACTGGATATCCATTAGATATCCATTAAAGTTTTATTTATTTCAAATTAAATTATTAGAAATATCAAGGCATGTGTCAATAATGTATTAATATATTTGTCTCTAATATTTATTAGTCAATTTTGACGAAAATTGTCCTTATGCTAATATCCCTAGTATATCCAATGGATGTCCACTGGATATCCGTTCATAGATTGGACATTCAGTGGATATAGGTATATCCAATGGATATCCAATGGATATTGTGTGCTGTCTGGGTAGTCGTAAGTTATGACTCATAACAATTTTAAGCAGTTGCTCCTTTAGTGCTTGTCGTAACGTTTTTGTAAATACAGGCAAACAGTCAATTACGTATAATCTAATCTAATTAAAGTTAGTTTTTGTCCCAGATTTTTATTGGTACATTGGAGTGTTGTGGAATATTTTCCGGTGTTTCCGAAATACTGTTTCGTGCTTTTCTTTGGACAAAAGATTGTTTTATTGTTTGATTTTGTATGAAAAACAGACAAATAATACGACTTTTGATGCACTTTTTTTCAGTTTGCGGTAAGTGTTAAAAATACAAACAAAACATAGATCAATTTATATTTTACTTGAATAAAATGTATATGAGGATAAGTTCGTATTATTCAAAATATATAAAATGTAAAGTACCTATACTTTATATATATATATAAAAACACTTTCATTCACAATTTTATTCTACTATCTACGTTTTTATAGTTTTGCATACGAATTTATAATTTCTCAGACTTGGGTAAAATGGATATAAGGTTATGTCGGGGTTATGTTCCTATTATTCAAAATATACAGGGTGATTCAGTCTTGTGGTGACAAAAGCTCAAGGGAAATTTCTCTCATCAAAATATGAAAAAAAGTTCCTATAAACTCGTGTCCGAAAATGCTTTATTATCGAGATATAGGGTGTTTCGTTTTTTATTTATAGCTTAAAAACGCTTTGGCCGATTTTATTAAAATTTATTAAATAATAAATGATTCAGATAATAAAAAATCACGTAAAGTTCCTCTAGCTTAAAAGTTAACCATGAGTTTTAATTTCTCAAGTGTCAACATATTTAGAAATATTGAGGGCCCCCACCAAATGTCGGCCCCAGGGCCTCAAAACTCTTAATCCGGCCCTGCCTATTTGAGTTTTCTAAAAAAACGCCGACAACTGCATTTTAAACAACAAAATATACCTATGAATTCATGGCAACATATTAATAGTATATATAATACGGTAAACGGAAAAGAAGCCCTTGGAAATAAAATCCTGGAAAAATTACCTCAGGAAAAAAAACCCAGGAAAATATACCTCTAGGAAAATAAACCTTCAGGATAAAATCACCCCTTACAATTTTTTTCGGAATTTTTTAACAATTTTTTAAAAAATTTTTTTAACTTTTTTAGAATTTTTTTACAATTTTTTTTACAATTTTTAGCATATTAGGGCATTGATTTTTGCAATTTTTTTATTTTTGCCAATTTCGTGGATTTTTACTCAATGGGGCGGGGGAGGCCAATGGGGCGGGGTCGGTAGGGTTGTGTTGTTGAGTTTGGGTTGATTTGGGTTGGTTTCGCTCATTTTTGCGGTATTTTTACAATTTTTGCATTTTTTATGTGACACTTGTCAAACCGGGATTTATTTTTTGGCTTTTTTTCCTTGGGTTTTTTTCCAAGGTTTTTTTTTCCTAGGGGTTTTTTTTCCGCTGGTTTTTTTCCATGGTTTTTTTTCCAGGGGTATTTTTTCCTAGATTCATATAATACATATTATAATGGTATTTTACCGTTGAGTGGAAAAGAATTCTTAATCAACGCTTTTAATAATGCTAAATGCTGTTTAAATTTAGACGACTTAATTGTTTGACGATTTTTACTGAATTGAAATGTTTACACTTTTCACGTTAATCACTACTAAAATGTGTATTTATTGTATCTAATACTTAGGTACAATTTATATTTACAGAGACTGTATGCAATTTATTTCTTCATTCAGATTAACACTGTTTATTGGAAAACCGGTAAAAACTCAACCCAGGATTTCCTCTCGAAATACACCTAACAATACAACAAATCGATCCACTGTTTTTTTTTCGATATTTTTTAACATTTTCCGGCTTTATTCTCAAAAACACTCGTTTGTAACCTAAGCGTTTGACAGCTGATTATTACGATTATAACAGCCGAGTGGTGGCGCTACTGGCGATACTTCTTTAGCGTATTACCATTGATTAAGATGCCAGGCCTCTTCCCTACTCTTTACTCAACGGTATTACCGTTGAGACGCATATATCTTGTTATGAAAAAAAAAATAAACAAGACTAGCTGAATTTAATATGGTTGAAAGATATTTTTTGACAGTTGTCAAAAACTTAAAATAATTGGGACTCCCAATTATTTTAAGTTTTTGACAACTGTCAAAAAATATCAAAAAAAATATCAATTTGGGAGCGCCATTTTTGCGACACCCTGTAGGTGTTAATCTAGAGGGTAATAAAACTATTAATTTACACATCATATATATTTTTATTAGGTTTATTAGTGCATACATAATACAAATAAATAAATAAAATTTAACAATAACTAGAATAAATAAATAGATAAAAAATTCGGAGTAAAAATCACAAAAAATTGAGATCGGACTAGAATAAAGTCATGCAATTTTGTAGACTAGGTGGGTAATCAGTGTGCTGACCAGAGGCCTGAATTTGCTGTGAAGATTGAACAGCTGCCATTGCCATTGATACTGGGGTTGTTGAAGGGTGATATGGGACCTAAAAACAAGAAAATATCAATATTTTCCAATTTGTGACCTTTTTAAGAAAGTTTGACGTTTGTATACTACTTATATAAATTTCAAATTGTCGATTAAACGTCAAAACTTGCTAAACTTATGGAGCCTAAACATAAACTCAATAGGGGGAATTGACAGAACCTGCGCACAAATTACATTTTCTTTTTTCACCACTAGCGGCGCTGATTTGCATTTTGTACTGACGTCCGCTTATTACAATTAAAAACTATCAACAATAATCCGATATTTTGTCCTTTATTACTTAAACCTTAGACAATATAACACTGTTTTGACAGTTGTTCGGTGTTTTGTATTGTTTTGAGTTGTTTTTTTTTACGAAAACAACTTAAAATTGTTAAAAGGTGCATAGTTATGGTGAAACATACAGCGTAAATGCGAGAAAAAGTACGTTTACCTTTAAGTCCTTTTATTCATTGGAATCCCTACCAATTTCGCTGATATGTTTCTATTTTACTAATAATTAAATATTGGATTACTCAATAATAAATATAAATTTGAATTTTATTAATCTATAATATATGTTAAATATTATTTTCATAGATTTTCCTTGAAACTGCTACGCCATACGATAAATCTTGAAACGCGATGATTTTGACGCACACGCGTTTACTGTTATAAAGGCACAAAAGGTTGCCCGCTTGAAGTTGCCTCCCCTTAATTTACTTATTTTCAGTATATTTTTGTCAATGAAAAACTTTTCTTGAATAATTTTTCATGAAATTTTGAATATGATATTATATTTTATTTAAAAAATACCGGGTTCTCTAAAAAAATTTTTTTTTTACAGTTTGACAGATTGTCTTAAAGTGAATTAAATTTGAATTTACTTGGTAAGTAAGTGTTATATTTAAAATTATTCAATAAAATATAAGAGTATCCTTTATGGATATTTTTAGTTCTAAGAAAATAGACATTTTTAAATAAAATTTTTTGGCCTAAGAGGTTAAACAAAGAACACTGAAATATACCTACAAATTTCTAAAACTCATTTTTCTTGTCAAAAATCCCAAGCTGCAAGGGGTTAATGGTACCCTAAAGATTGCAAACAAATTTTTTTACCCTATGAAACCTTAATATACTGGACCATAAGATAAATCACAATCCACACAACAGTTGTGTGGATTGTGAGGTAAATGAGAAATAGTTCTCTAAACGTCACATTGTATTAAAACTATTGGTGAAATTTTTATGTTCTTTGATTGCGATTTTTGAAATTTTGGTGTTTGTTTAACCTCTTGGTCTTTGTCTAAAATGACTTATAAAATATATAGTCAGTTTTTGGTAATTTTTAGTCAGTTTTAAATAAAATCTTGGACACAAACGGTTAAACAAAAAAACGAAATTTCCAAAATCATCCAATTTTTTTACCTTACATATTTTTAAAAAACATGAAATTTTCAGCAACATATTTTTAATACAATTTGACGTTTTTCTACTGCATACAGTCAAACTAACTTGGATTTTTTATTAGCTTGTCTACAATGACAATTAACTAAGGCTGTGAATCGATTACGAATAATCGAGTATTCGAATAGAAGTGGAAATCGATTATAAATTATTCGAATACTCGAACATTCGAATACTCTAATATTCGAATAATCGAATATTTGAATACTCGAATATTTTTTACAAATATGTTAATTTGTCATTTTTATTTAAAAAAGAGTTCTCATATCAGGTGGCTTACGAATTTTGAAAATTACAAAAATAATCAAATTCAAATTTAAAAAATTAATTTTTTAGCCACAGTAAATTTTTGTACACAAAAAATTAATAAGTTAAGCTGTAACTTAAAAAATAAATTTTTAAAGGTCGCCCACAAATTTTAAAAAACTTCGAAAAAAATCGATATAGTCGCTTCGTTTTGGACAATAGCGAAAATAAATTAGTAATTACTAATTAATATTTATTCGTAAGCAAAATTTGCGGCAGACCGCTGCTTTCACGTGCAATTTTAATTTGGAATTTCTAGCCAAAAAACCCGAAATCCGAAGGTATAGGCAACTTGCCTATATCTACTAGATATTAGATATTATCTAGGATGTAAGTAGATTTTGCTTCTGAGCTAAAATTTTAAGAAACTTATTACAAAAATTTACCTTGGCAAGCAAAAAAATGTTCGAATTTTGAGTCAAAATTTTAAACCACTTTTTAAATTTTCAAAATTATTGTGCGACCATTAATTTTTAAAGCATGATAAACTAATAGGAGACTCGAAAAAAATCGTTTTTTTAATAACAATAATAATAATAATGTCTTTATTAATTAATGCATACATTAATTAATAGGAGAGCCGACATGAATTAAACAAAATATTCAAAAACACAACAAGAAATTCTAAAACGTCAATTTCTTTTTCTATGCGTCATTTCATTATGCAAAATTTTAATATAAACATGACAACATTGCAATTGCTGCCAACTCAAGTTGTTTAAAATGCATTAAAATATTTAATTACAGACTTTTTATACATTTAGTATTGGTACCAGTGCGCAAAATTATGACGTCATCGATGACGTGTACGTCGTTTCCTTTTAAATTTACTATAGAACACTATTAGGATAGCGTTTATCGAAAAGGAACCAAGCGCCAAAAACTTTTTCTGGGGTAAACAAAATTATTTGCAAAATAACTCATTTTTAATGCTGCTCAAAAAATTAAAAATGATTTGGGTAGGTACTATGCTCCACACCTCAAGTCCCACCACGTGACCACGTACGAAACGCAGTCTTTTGAAAATTTGGCATTTAAGGCTTTTCAGGTTATGTATCTGTCAAAGTATCGCTGTGACTAGAGGCACGCTAACGTGCCGCAATTTGAAATGTTAAAGGCACGTTAGTTACGTCATAAACCCAAACCATCCCAAACTCAACAACACAACCCAACCGACCCCGCCCCATTGCCCCCCCCCGCCCCATTGAACAAAAAACCCAACTAAAATGGGCAAATTTATGTTACGATAAAAATAAAACACTTTTTAACAAAGGAACAACAAATTTATGAAATAAAAAAAGTTCGACAACTTCTAGTAGATTTTATGTTACGATAAAACTAAAACAAAGCAACCCAACCCAACCAAACACTGTTTAACAAAGAAACAACAAATTTATGAAATAAAAAAATAAAAAAAGTTCGACAACTTCTTAATATCGAACCCGGGACCTCTCGCATGCCAAGCGAACGCCCTACCATATAAGCTATCTAGCTTGATGTCAAATATTAAACGTTCGGGGAACAAAAACGGATTATAATTATGACGTAACTAACGTGCCTTTAATATTTTCAATCGCGGTACGTTAGCGTGCCTCTAGTCACTGTGTCAAAGTATAGTCAATGAAAGAAATAATATTTATAGTGTAACACTATTAGTGTAACACTATTAGTGTTACCGCTTATGTTTAAGCGTTAAAAGTTAATAAATCTTTATAGTATCACAATAACAATGGTAGGTTTAAGAATTTAGGAATATAAATACTGCATTTAATGAAATTCCAAAGTGTAAGGTGGAATATAAGTGATATTTTTGTGCATTGGGTCTACATTTCTCCATTAAATAGTTTTAATTAAACAGCATTTATTAAAAAAATCTAACTTATCTATTATGAAATAAGAATATCTGTATAACAAAAAATATCATCTAATTTTGTATTTTTAGGTTAGAAAAATTTATTTTGACCAACAAGTGGATTACTTGGAAGAGTGTGTTAACACGTTAACGGCCACGTCGGTCCCAGGGGACCGCTAATACTTTTTCCATCCAGGCCACGGCGGTCCCTGTGGACCGCCTGTCAATTTTTTGTTTAACAGTTTAACATGATTTTCTGGCCAGCGGACCGCTCGTATAAGGTATTTTAAATAAGGTGACCATTTTTCTTTAATGAAAAACCAGGACAGAGTCTGTCCGACATACACGCAGCATGCCCCCCCCCCTTTCAAAAAAAACAAACGAAACTTATTTTGTTTAATGTTTTTTAATTGAAAAAAAAATGAAAATTCTAAAAAAATAAAATATAAATAAAATAAATAATAAAAAAGCATTAAACATTTAAAACAAAATCAAATAATGAATATACCTCATTTAAAACATAACAAATAATAAAACAAGACTAGCTCGAAATCAGTGCTCTATACTTTTTTGAGGAGTGGATTGCCTCCAAAATCTTTGGCTCTGTGAGTAATAATTTATAAAAATCACCACAGTCTAAATCAAAATTTAATTTGGTAGTTAAGATACTTTTTAAGGTTTCCACTTTTAATTGAGTCTTATCACAGCTCCATATATTATTAACATGACTAAACCCCTTTCTGCTTGTGCATTGGTGCCAGGTAAACACATACAATACTCCAAAATATAAACCATATTTGTAATTGGATAATCATTATTATTAAAGAATTTAATGATCTCTTGCCATTTGGATCCAACCCTTGTCTTATTCTCTTTCCAAGAATCAAGTTTTTCTTGAACAACAAACTTCTTGAGACATGTAACTTCGTCAAAGAGATCATTTTCATCAATGCCATCTTTCCTTCTGGAATTATTAATATATTCTAAGCACTCCTGAATTTCCTCAAATTCAGGTATTTTGTTTAACAAAATCCAATTGAACTTTTGAAAATTATCACTATCCGGACTTTTCCACTGTTTTAAATAATCAATAGCTGTGACATAAAATTCAAAAATGTTTTTTTCTATTGAATGTTCACATATGCTACCATCTCGTACTAACGAATTTAACATCATTTTGAAGGACAAGGTGCGAAAATTTTCATCTCGTCGTTTTTCTAATTTTTCAATGAGTTCATTATAAACTCTACAGGTTTCAATAAAGGACGTTTTTTCGCCTTCTAATTTTAAAATAGTTTTGTGAAATAAATCTGCTATATTATGTGCAAAATATAACCAGATTTCAGTTTCAGGATTATTAAAATAGTTTTTAATTAGTACTGGGCACTTATCAATTGATAAAAAATAGGACTTCAATGCTTCATACTGTTGTAAAACTCGTTCAAGTGCAGGAAGTAATGCTAACCATCGTGTATTGCTGTAACCTAACATGTTCTTGTACTCAGTACCAACAAATTCACAAAACTCTTTCAGTTTCTCTACTCTAACTGTATAAATATAAAAATGGCTATAAATTTTTACAATTAAAGCTTCAATGTCTACTGGTAATGTATCACAAGCAGTCTTGATACAATTATTGACTATGTGGGCCATACAACCCACACCAACAATCGAAGCATTGTTTAATTTACATTTAACTTTGTAAAAAACATTATTTACTCCATTTCGAGCAACACCACCAAAATTGCTATTGGTGTTATCAGTACATAAGGCCAAAACTTTATCATTTAAATTAAAATTGGTCACAGTTTCCAATATGTAGTCACTTATTATATCTGAAGTTTCTCCCGGTAAGTCTTTTACTTGTAATATTTTTAACTGAACCCCTGCTTCTGGTAGAAAATATCTAACAATGATAGGCATCAGTTTAATATGTTTATGGTTTGATGCATCAGTGCATATCGTAATAAAATTTGCTTTTGACAAATCTTCTTTCAATAGTTGTTCTGCAAAGGGTGCAAAAACTTGACAAACTATGGCCTCACTTTTTGTTCTGGCACATGAATATTTTGCCTCGAATATTTTTTGAATTAGTCGAGAAGTGCAATCATTAGATCTGAAACTCTGATTATGTTTTATGATGTGGTAGACCCAAGTACCTTCTGAGGCAGCCAGTTTTGCCTCATCATGTGTAAATGTTTTTTTTTTATAATAATTTACCACTTGCTGGCATCCTGATGTGCTGGCTACTGATGATTTATGCTTTATTGTCTTGATATGGTCTTGTAAATCCTTTATACCACTGTTTGCAATAGAGAATGACGAACCGCATATATTGCACTTGACCCTGGCACAGTCTTCAGATATTTTTCTCAAAAATGGAAATTTTTGTTGTAGTTCTGAGTTAAAAGAGCATTGCCTCCTCTTTTTTTTTGGATTTGAGGCCGACATGGTATTTAGTTTAGGAGTCAGCTGCTAAAAATATACAATAATTACAATATTGAACTTAACAAGATTATTATTTCCATTAATATTATTAATAAAATTGAAAGAGGCAAATCAAATTCAATTAAAGTAATACATACCAGTAATTATTAGTATTTATTCCATATATTGTATTAATATATTATCTACTTAGTAAATTCTACTAGGAATTTCCTAGACAACACAAAAACGCCGGTAAACATAATACCTAACCAACAAATAACCCATAGAATAATAATATATCAATACCAATGTTATTACACCATCATTTAAAAATAAATAAAAGTAACTAGATTGCGAGGTCACGACAAAAAGTCACTAGATTAAAGTGCGACAGAGTATTTTAACGATCGTTTAGCAGGAAAGAGAAAGAAAACTGTAGAGTTCCGTGCGTTCTAGATACAAGCATGCTTGCAACTCCGATCCGACGATATTAGAGATGTGCAAATAATGGCTCAATCATAAAAATTTTTTTTATTAAAAAATGAGTACAAACCAGGACCGAATCTGCGAAACCAGGACAAAACCAGTACACAATTGAAACCAGGACACATGAGTAAAAACCAGAACCTGTCCTGGGTAAACCAGGACGGATGGTCACCTTAATTTTAAAGCATGCATAGGACCGCTTGGCCCTGGCTGACGAAGATACAAGAGTTTTTTAATTATTTATTTTTTAATCTGTATTTTGACGATTTTATTTTTTAAAATGATACAAGTAAAATAACAACTTGGCCCAATAAACAAAATCACCGATAACGCCGTGGCGTTTAACGTGTTAATATGGTCATAAATAAATATAGGTATATTAAATAATTGTTGAATATGGTTCAAATTAAATTGAAGTTTTTATACTTCTAATGACAAAACTTGTGCATACCTCTTGGCATACCTACTTTAAGTTAGATTATAAGAAAACAAACAATTTTTAGAGAAACTTGCAATGTGAAAATATTTAATACTCCCATGACATGTGATTTATTAAAATTTTTAAAGTTATTATGATTTTTCAATGTAGATCAAGTTCAGTCGAAGCTTTTTAACTATTTGTATTGACAAAACTTTATGTAGGTACACTCTAAGCTGGATAAGAAAAACTACCACATTTTTAAATACCATATTATACAGTCTTTTAAATAATCCACAATACTTATTTATTTTGGTCAAAATAAATTTTTCTAACCTTAAAATTACCCAAATTAGATGATATTTTTGTTATAATAATTTAACCTACCTTTAAAACAGATATTCTTATTCCATAATAGAGAAGCTAGTTTTTTTTAATATATCGACCCATGCAACGAAGACTATAGTAACTCAAAAACGTGGATTTTGACTTAATATATGGCATCAACAGATTTTTTCAAGCTCTATTTGGTGGAAGATTACAGTAACTCAGACATGAAATGATAGGCAACCAGTGAACAACTTCCCTGTATAGTAAGTGTAATAATCCACATTCCTACAGGCGAAAACTTTATTAAGTTGAGTTACTCTAGTCTACAATCAAAACTGAGTTACAATAGTCTTCATTGCATGGGTCGATATGTTGTTTAGTTAAAATTATTTTATGGAGAAAACAAGATTTGGACCAAATGCACAAAAATATTACTTATTTGGCACCATACACTTTAAAATTTTATTAAATGCAGTAATTATATTCTTAAATTCTTAAACCATCCATTGTTATTGTAATGTTATAAAGATTTATACATATACACTTAAACATAATATTATTTCTTTCGTTGACTATACTTTGACAGATAGATAACCTGAAAAGCCTTAAATGCCAAATTTTCAAAAGACTGCGTTCCGCACGTGGTCACGTGGTGGGACTTTGAGGTGTAGAGCATAGTACCTTCTCAATCCTTTGAGAAAAGTTCCAAATGGATATTAACCTTTTGAGCATTATTAAATATGAGTTATTTTACAAGTAATTTTACTAAGCCCAGAAAAAGTTTTTGCCGCTTGGTTCCTTTTTGATAAGCGTTATCCATTTGTCGTTTCTCTTAGCAACAACTTAACAACAAAAACTCCTAAATAATTACAGCCTCCCAAAATTTCTAAATCTTACCGTTGAATTGTGGTGGAACCTGGGATCCAGCATCATGGCGGCGGCTACCGCGGCCGCCGTCGATGTGGCCGTGGAGTGATTCGTGCGCGCCAGCATGTGATGCGTGTTGACTAGATTGTTGTTGTGGTGGGGGGCGGCCGCGCGCTGGTTATGACCCGTCGACGCTAAAATTTGGTTGTGGATGTTGTGCGCGTGGTTGTGGTGATGAAAATCGCCACCCTCGGCGAAATGGTGGTAGTTGGAGTTGATGGTGGTCAAATTGCCCGCTAAAAAAAATTTATAAATTGATGTTATGTATTTTGATTAAATTTTTTTTATTATTTTGGCATTTCTTACCAGCAGTGGATGTAGAATGATTTTGGTGATGCATAATCAAATCTTGTATCTCGCTTCCCATTGGTTGAGATGCTGGGGCGCTGGTTGTGCTATTGGTTTGCGTGAAGTTTATGTTTGAACTGTTCGTCGTTGTTGTACTTTCTTGAGAGCTCTGAAATTAGAAATAAATCGTTCCAAAAACATTTTAAAAAGTTGAACAAATTTTATTTATATATTTATACTTTGTTAAAAAAAAAACCAAATCGCAAAACAATAAAATTAAATGTTTATAAGCGCTCATAAAATTGATGAGCGCTTGTAATGCTCGAGCATTTATAAACGCTAAAATATAAATTTAAATTTTATTACAAAAAAATTAGTTATTGAAAAAAAATAGAAGTACAAGTACTCCATCTGGAAGAAATTGCAGGTAGCTAGCTTATTTTGCTTGTTTTTAAAGGTTTTATTAAGAAACTCTAAACCTTTCAGTTTAATTTCTAAACATTTTGGAATTAGATGTTCTGATGTAAAGTGTTGGAGCGCGTTCGAAAACTCGCAAGAGTGCATTCTGGATACACTCCAAGTTTACCTTGCGCGTTCGAATTCTCTGGTATATACCTAGATATATGCAACTGTCAGCTGTTCGAAAACAGCAAGTATATGCCCAGAGTGCACTCTCGGTTGTCCAAGCTTTAGACTTGGTTAAGTTCTACCCGTCATGCGCATAGGGTACATCAAACAATAATTTGTATTTACCTTCATATAATTTATTTATAACTGTTTAAAATTCAATAAAACAAAAACTTAAAACATTAAAATAAAAAAATTTATTGTAATAAATTATTTAAAAAATATCAATTCTAAAAAACAAAACAAAATCTATCACAAAAACTTGAATAAACCATATAACTAAAGGGTTGAAATTCAATAATTTAATATTTATATGTATTCAGTAAAATAACAAGCAAAACCAATTGATTTTAGAACACTACAACATAAAATTTATAGGTATATATATACAGGGTGTTTCTTTTAACTTGAGACAGCTCAATATCTCGAGAAATACGCATTTCACGAAAAAATGTCTTAATTAAAAGGTTAATGTGACTAAAGGGGACATTATTTGGTGCTACCGCTAGCCACCCCCTACCCCTCCTTAAGGGTGAAACGGGGGGTAACTTTGGAAAGTCAAATGGAATAACCCGATTTTTTTCACAGAGTTTGGTAGTACATAAAAAAATAAATAACTTTTATTTAAAACTTTTTTCAATTTATCAACAGATGGCGCTGTAATTCAAAATTTAAGAAAAATGAGTTTCCTTGTAAAATGTATTATTTGAAACGTTTGAAAAACAAAAATTAACATTAACAACAATAGTCGGCTATGAAAACAATTTATAACAAATGTTCGAAATGTCGTCATTTTTTCTTAAATTTTGAATTACAGCGCCATCTGTTGATAAATTGAAAAAAACTTTCAAATAAAAGTTATTAATTTTTTTATGTACTACCAAACTCTGTGAAAAAAATCGGGTCATTCCATTTGACTTTCCAAAGTTACCCCCCGTTTCACCCTTAGGAGGGGTAGGGGGTGGCTAGCGGTAGCACCAAATAATGTCCCCTTTGGTCACATTAACCTTTTATTTAAGACATTTTTCCGTGAAATGCGTATTTCTCGAGATATTGAGCTGTCTCAAGTTAAAAGAAACACCCTGTATGCTCCGCGGCGTTCGAAAATAACAAGGAGGTCAGGTATAATGTAAAGTCACGTGATTATGTACCTATCCTTATACCATATTCAAAGTACACTCCCAATGGGAGTCTCCCATTTCGAACGCACTTTTGGTTATGTTATAATCCCGATTTTTAGTTTTGGCGCCAAATTCAAATATCGAGCATTTATGAGCGCTTTTGAAAGTGATCATCCTTATACCAGATTATAGATATTTCGTAAACGGTAAACTAATAGAGGGTTGGGGTACATACACTGCCCGTCAAAATTAACGCATAATAAGTAAAAATTCTAACACTAAAACGCCTTTACCAATCTTTATAAAATTTTGGATAAAAATACTTTAACTTATATCTCAGTTTACGTGTTCAAGGGTTTTTCGAGAAAATATCCTTATAGCCCTTTTATTTAATAATAAAAAAAACGCTCAAAAATGACCACTTTTCAACAAAATAATCAAAAAGGGGTAATTTTTACCGACTGTATCTTCGTTACTGTTAGTTTGATTTGTACAACATTTTCAGGGTATACTAACAAAAATACGGTCTTTAACAGCATATTTCTTATTTATTTAAAAAAAATTTACCCTAAAAGTTATTTTTCAAACGTTTTTTTTTATTATTAAATAAAATGGCTTTAAAAATATTTTCTCGGAAAACCCTCGCACGTAAACTAAGTTGAAGTATTTTTACACAATATTTCATAAATATTAGTAAAGGAGTTTTAGAGTTGGAAATTTATTACTAATTATGCGTTAATTTTGACGCGCAGTGTATTTAAACATATTTTTTACATCTACCCCCCTTTCCTATTTTGAGGGATTATGTACTTAAAAAAAATTAATATATGTAATACACTAGGTATGTGGGCAAAAAAATTTTTGATCACGGAATTATGATTTATTAAATTATGAAATACTAAAAAATAATTTTAGTTTATTTATCGAGTGTAAGAATTTCATTTAGAAAAAGAGTGAGAATGAGTTTGGAAGTTAAAGGGGAGCATTTTATTAAATTTCTTAGACATGACAGACGATAAACTAGTTGAAATTTAATTTTTAATAGTTTTTAGTATCTTATATTTCAATAACTCAGTATCTTATATTTCAATAAGTCAGTAACAAAAAGCGCAAATCAGTTTTTTTTGCAGATTCGAATTAAAAAAAAAGTACATTATCCTATTTAAAAACCAAATTTACCCCCTCCCCTAAAAATAGAAAAAGGGAGTAGGTAAAAAAAATGTCTTTTCCTTTACCAAAATTTTAAAAAAAATTAAACCGTTTTTGAAATATCCCTTTGTAACATTTTAAAAACTCACCCGGAATAATTCACAATAATTAAATAAATTGGAAAATGACAAGAATTTATTATAAAACGATCACAACCAACAAATAATAATAAACATTGTGTACCAAACATAAACAATGATTTTTTTTCGTAAAACGCATAATAAAAGTTTTTCCTAAAGGCAAAAATATCTTGAAGAGTTTGAAAAGAAACAATTTGTAAAAAATAAATTTAATATAGTAAATTTATAAGGAAACGACGTACACATCATCGATGACGTCATAATTTTGCGCACTGGTACCAACACTAAATGTATAAAACGAAGTCTGTAATTGAATATTTTTAATATTATTTTAATGCATTTTAAACATCTTTAGTTGGCAGCAATTGCAATGTTGTCATGTTTAGATTAAAATTTTGCTTAATAAAATGACGCATAGAAAAAGAAATTGACGTTTTAGAATTTTGAAGCTGTCGTGTTTTTGAATATTTCGTTTAATTCGTGTATAATTTCGTTTATTTTGTTTGTGTTATTTTATATCGTTTAAGTTTTCATTGCCGTTTTTGTGTTTGTTATATATCGTTTTTATGTTTTTCCTATATTTAAAATGCCGAAGCATTTAATAGTCGGAGTCAAGAGTTGGTATCATCCTTAATACGCTATTTTGAGGCAGAACGGGATAATAATGGACCTTTGTTACCTTTAACAGCTGTTAAAGAGGTAAATAGGATTATTATTAATTATATATTAGAATATTTAACAAAATATATGTTGGATAGATAAAATAATAATATATACACCAGAGACTTACTTACTTAAGATGGCAAAATTTCTGGGTTTTATAGCTGAAAATGTCTTTAAAAATGGCTAAAAACATACTTTTGGCGTTGCATCATATAAGTTATAAAACTCTGACTTTTGACATTTTGGTATTCTAAGGTCCCAAATCTAGACTGGCGGCTAGCCGTACCGATTCCACTTTGATTCCTCGATCCCCGCATGCGCGGTAGTGTTCTGTCACTTTTATTGTTATCGACAGTCTTCACGCGGACATTTAATGTAGGGTTTATTATAATAATCTAAGTATAAAATTACTTCTTGCGAAGCTTCGAAACCAATCCAAACTCAACAACCCGACCCAACCGACCCCGCCCCATTGGCCCAATTTTTCAACGAAGGAATATTCATATAATTACATATTATATTATATAACTGTAGCAAAATGAATATTAATGTAAAATTAAATAATAATCCGTTTCGCTATATAAATAAAAATAAAAAAAAAAAGTTGTAGGCGCCAAGAATCGAACCTGGTATCTCTCGCATACAAAGCGGGCGCTCTTCCATCGGAGCTACCGAGCTTATTGAATAATTCCTTTTGTTTTGAAAATAATACCAGTTTACAGTGTGTGACGTGTGAAGCATGCGGGGATCGAGGAATCAAAATGGAATCGGTACGACTAGCCGCCAGTCAAATCTAGGGACCCTACTCATGTAAACGCCATCTATCGCCCTGTAGTTGCACTACCACTTTCACTTGATGCAATTTTAGCATCACATTGACAACCATCAGCTGATTGATGACGTGTACGTCGTTTCCTTTTAAATTTCACTATTTTTTACAGGGTGGCCACAAGAAAAAGATGATTTACAGGAAATGTTTTTTTCCTGATTTAAAATTTGTTGAATTTTTGGTACCTATATATATTTTTTTTTATTTTAGTACCTTTTAATAAAAAAATGTATTTCAACAATGTTTTTCAACATTAAAATGATGTATTTTATCAGGTACCATAAAAACAGATACATTAGAACAATTATTTTCCCCTGCTTATTGTGGCTCTATCTGACATTATAAAAATCGTATCTAACCTGTGATTTAGGCCTGGTGGAACTATTATTCCTCAACGGCCTCGCTTTGTACGGCACCTTGGCTGAGGCATTTTCCCCGTGATGCCTGGTGAAATGCTCCTTCAACTTATCCCGCCTCGAACTGGCGTAATCGCAGTTCGAACACTTGAACGGCTTCTCCTCCAAGTGGATGCGCTCGTGTCGCACCAGGTGCGACTTCTCCATGAACCCTCGGCCGCAGACGCCGCACGTGTGCGGCCTGACGCCGTTGTGGCTTTTCGCGTGGCTCGCCAGCTGGTTTTTCTTCGATGTCGTGTACTTGCAGTGCGGGTACGAGCACCGGTAGATGTCCGCTGCGATCAAGTCTGATTGGTTAAGAAATGTCAAAATGTATATAGGATGTCTGTACTCAAGGGTGTGAGAAGAAAAAGGACTACCTCTTATGAAACTTAAGTTGCAAAAATGTACACTACAGGCTTAAAGTCGCCGCGGCGAATGTTTTTCGTTGCAGACATTACAATTTGCTGTTTTCTTTGTATACGTATGTGGGATGTATCAAGCATACATCATGTATGCCTGACGTAGGTTGACAAACGGGTTTATCACATTTGAAACTTGCAACGTAAAACATTCGCCGCGGCGACTATAGGATAGTATAGAATATAGTTCAATAAATACCCAGAATGACAGCGAACACTAAGATCGGCACGGTTCGCTAAAAAAGTAACATTGCAAAAAAATGACTCTAATAAGTGTAAAATATTGTGATTTCTAACCCTTTTCCAAAATAAACAAAAACAAAAAAGATATTTTTTTCATATTCTAAGAATTTTTTTAAAAATAAATATTGTAATTTCACAATTTTGAATTTAATATTAAAATAATTATAATATATTATATTATTATTTTAAATATTAAATCATTGGCGTGCCAGATGGAACTTAGGGGGTACGGCAATATTCCTAAACAATTGGACCTAATGGGTATTTTAACTTAAAATGTATGTAATAAACTATTTTCAAATTATAAAAATACCAATAATAGTATATTATATATCAAGTTTGATAAATGCCATTTTACTCACGAATTTTAAATAGGCACGAGCGAGCTTGCAAGCGAGTGTTTAATTAAATGAGTAGGTACCTAGAAGTTTATAAATGAGTTGCATACTATAATTTTTTTACGACAAATTCTTAATATTATCTTAAAAATAATTTAAATTAAATATTTGTATAAAGCGAGACCTATAATTAAACTTAACAATTAAACTAGTTTATAGCCATTTTGACCACCATGTCTCACTATTATTTTCTTGTATAGTTTGGCTCACTAAACGCGCGCTCATCACTAACGTCGCCCAGATTGTCCGGGTTATTTACGCACTCAAACTCTCTACTTCTTTTACTTATTTTACACTTTTTATTAACTAAATAAAACCATGAAAAAAATACTCTGTTAAAATATCAAAAAATAGCAGTAAAATGTCACTATAGGGTGAGTCCATATCAAATCAACCAAAAAAAGGTCACTTTTTTCCCTCACCATCTCCGATTTTGATAATTTTTATTACACTTAATCTACCCATCAAAAAACTCATAAACCTCAAATTTTAATTTTTTTTGACGAGTAGTTTTTGTTTTATTGATTTTTGAAAATCAAAAAATTGCCGATTTTGGTCTTGCAGGTACTTACAAAAATTGCTATATCTCGAAAACTACTCAAAATAAAAAATTGAATAATAGCTTGTTTTAAAGGTCTTTTATATAAATTTTTTATGATATGTCACATGACCTAAATTTGTAAAAAAAAAAATTTTAATATCGAAAAAAATCGGAACTCACTAACCTACAAAAAATTAATATTTATGGTCATTTCACTCCAAATAATTGATTTTGATTTTGTACCTATGATTTTTTCACTTTTGTTCAGCTGCACGGTGGGCTGGGATACAAATCTAACTGGAAAAAATTAATTACTTCCTCAAAAATTAGCAAAGCACTATTAAAATATTTTTTATTTTTATTTAAGTTAAATATGCGGTTAATATGGCTTTGCTAATTTTTGAGGGAGTAACCCAGCTAGCAAGGTTACGTCATTAGGACGATATTTTAAGGTCACCTTTCGTCGGCGACGTCACATGACCAATAAAAGACGGGTTTATGACGTCACATTTCCGACGTCATTTAGATGTTTTTATGTTGCGTCTTTCTGACGTTTTCAATAGGTGATTTTATATCACGTAACAAATATATAATAATACGTACGTAGTAGGTATAGATCGTACTACCTAATTTTTGAACACCCTGTAGATAAAATCCCAATTTTTTTGTAGACCAAATTTATTTTTTTATCAGAAAAAATAAAAAAAAATCCCTATCATCGATGACACGCAAATCCGTCTATGAACAAATAATTATCTTACAAGACAATAACGAAATACTATTTTAAACAAAGTATTTTTTAATTCTTAATTTAGTTTTACAATTTCATTGCTGTCAATACCTATATAGGTATATTTATTATTCCGAATAAAAAAAACAGACAAAAATTTGTGTAACTTGTGAAGTGTCGATACATGGCGGGAAGTAAAGAACGCCGTGCTCGATACCACCAATCACAGACTGTGATTCACAGTCAGCTGACCACTGTGAGATCAGCTGACTTTAGTGGCAAGCTGCGATTGCTTTATCATTTCTAACCGTCCATGCTTTGCAACGGTGCACTACCGCGGTGGCGTCTATTCTGTTATTCGGTTAAATTAAGTTAATTAATAACTGTTGTGCAAATCTACAATTAAGTGCAGTAACTGCGGATCAATAGGTAGGCTTTACATATTTATTAAATCATTCTTAATTTATTTACATATACCTATACTAGGTGTTTAAAAGATGGACGTCGTAGTTGAGTTTGCACACGACGAACGTACGTGGTGACGCGTCATGACGGGGGAATTTCCGCTATCAATACAAAGTGGCTAACTCCTCGCAAAAAAGAAGTTTACTGGCCACCTTATAAACAACAGTGCAAATACGACAAGGCATTAAAAAATGGTGAAGAAGTCAATGATAGCTCGAGCTATCCATAATGTTCGATTTATGGGATGGGTCTACTCTATTAAGTTTGTTATTTAGAATTTATATTTTATTTATTTATTTATATTTTATAATATATGACATTTATAATATATTTCCTTGTTTTATTTATTACAATAAATGACAACTATTGTACGTCTTTAAGACGTCAGTACTTACGGCAAATGACGTTGTTTGTACGTCCTAATATTACGTCAACGGCCTGTGACATTTGCCCGTTTTAAAGACGTGATTTTGACGTGATGTTAAGGGTGAATATGACGTAACTTGTGACCAAAAAATGCCGTGATTATGACGTCACCATGTTTGCTGGGCTGGGATACAAATCTAACTGGACAAAATTAGTTAACTAATTTTGTCCAGTTAGATTTGTATCCCAGCCCACCGTGCGGCTGCAAAAAAGTGAAAAAATCAAAGGTACAAAATCAAACTCATCAACTATTTGGAGTAAAATGACCCATAAATATTATTTTTTATGTTAGTGAGTTCCTTTATAATTTTTTTCACCATGAACCCGTTGAGTGTCCATCTTGAAATTTTGAACATAGCTTATCAAAATGTGCACAAAAAATACATATTTTTTTGAAAAAAATAAAAAAAGGTATTTTTGAGATTTAAGAAAAAAATTTTTTTTCGAAATTAAAAATTTTTTTTTTAAAGAAATTTAGGTCATGTGATATATCAAAAAAAAGGTATCTAATAGGCCTTTAAAATAAGCCATCACTCACCTTTCTAAGTTTAATAGTTTACGAGATATCGCTATATTTGTAAGTACTTGCAAGACCCAAATCGGTAATTTTTTGATTTTCAAAAATCAATAAAACAAAAACCACCTATCGAAAAAAATTCAAATTTGAGATTTTTGAGTTTTTTAGTGAGGTAAACAAATTTACCAAAAATTATTAAAATCGGAGAGGGTGAGGGAAAAACCTTTGGTTGATTTGATATGGACTGACCCTATACCAACACGAGAAACAAAAGAATTTACGGAGTCATGTCAAATTTAAATTTTATATAATGATTTCGGTGAAAAAAGTACGTAAAAAACTTAAAAAATTCCAATCATGCACTTTAATTAGGTTTTCATTAAAAAATAAACATATTACGAAATAAAAGAAAAAAAATAAAATAAAAATCTGAATTTTGGTCTTCCACTAAAAAATTCATAACTTCGCCATTTTTTTATGTATTTTTATCAACATTAGCTTGTTTTTTTTGTAAAAATGTCAGCTTCGCGAAAAAAAAATCAAACTAGGATTATCTGTTTGATTTAAACCTTTCCCAGGACGATATGTAAATTTTCGATCTAAATTTTTTTAAGTTATTAAAATCGCTAGCGTCAAAATACTTATCCGATATCAAAAGTATGTAAAATAAAGTTTTAGAGGGCTAAAATACCTTTAATTTAAGGGCTTGTTTGACCAAATCGATCAATTAGATTTCAAGCTTTACTCAAAAACGTCAAAACACCTCCTAAAATTAAAAAAAAACAATTGAAAATTCATATTTCAAAAACGCTTCCCAAAATTTTTTTTTAGAATTTTTTGTGTTTAGTGGGTCAAAATACATGAAAAAATTATAATGGGATATGGTGGGCAGAATTTTTTTTCGATTTTGTAAACCAGTGTTATTGATAGGAACTTTAAAGTATTAAAATAACAAAAGATGATTATGTTAACAAAATATTTTATCCTTTGATTTTTTGTATTACTTTAATTGCAAAATATCAAGTATTAAAAATTCTTACACATGAAATGTTAAATGCACAAACAATTTTTTTGTTTTTTTGTTTTTATTGAAATTCCAGTTAGAATTTCTAACTTGGGAATCTACCGGCGTTAAAATCTCAAATTTTTCTGTGTAAATCAAAATTTATCCCTTAAAAATAGACTAGACTAACAATTGATAAAGAGGCGAAATTCGCGAATTTAAAATAAGTTTTAATTTTCCTGTCCTAATACCCACAAACCTAACCTCAAAAAATTTGTTAAAAGGACAAAACTACTATGGATGGTTCATATAATCTTTTCAAATATTGGCATAAAGAAATTGTTTATACTTTTGTATTGATATAATAAAATAATTTTTACATTTAGTATTATTTTACAAGAAAGGAACTTCATTTTAACGATTGTATGATATTTGACAACTGTCAACTAACTTCAGCCAGTGACCAAAAACATGTTGCTAACTTCAGCCGTGGCTAAAGCGCCATAAAGCCACAACTTGTCAATTTGACAAATATGTTATCTACTCCTATTGCATAATATTAGGTTTTTTCCGTGAATAATGATAAAAATTATAACTTCTCTGCCTAACAACGGAAATAATAAACTCATAAGTCACGTTGTTAGGCATCAGTGATTGGCCGATTTCAATATTCACTGTAATTTGAACCAATCGGGTTTTAAATTGGGAGAAGGCGACTACAATAAAATGTAAAATTGTTAAAAAGTGAAACCATTTGACATTTTATTTATTAATTTTTGAAAATCATTTAATTATCTACTTATTGGAGTAGATTAAGTATGGTATTACACTCGAAATTATGCGCATTATTTACTCGGATGATTTTAGACATTTTAATATTTTGGCCATGGAGTGTACACAAGGAGTCCGAACTTTATGTATTCAAAAAGCTTCGTAAAATAAGAGGGCGCTGGTGTGCCGTTGATTGTTTGGTTTGTACACTCAATGACAATCAGCGCCGCTGGTGGTAAAAAAAGAAAACCTAATTTGTGCGATTTAGTGGGCAGGTTTAGTCAATTTCCTCTATTAGGTTCGGACTCCTTGTATTGGCTTCATGATTTTGACGTTTATAACAGAATTGACATTTTATATAACGTACTTATTTCAACCTAACCCAAATTACTCACCAGCATGTATCCTCTTGTGCGCGATCATGTGACTCAAATACTTCGTGTGAAACCCGCACGAATCACACGACAAATTTTTCTCCGTCGTGTGAGTCAGAGTGTGCGAATCCAAATTTTGCTTCAGCCTGAAAGATTTCGTGCAGTGCTCGCACTTGAACGTTTTTTCCGGGCTGTGAATTTTTAAGTGGGCCACGTAATTCTGTTTTATACGGCATTTGAACGAGCAAAACGTGCACTGAAAAATCGATTCTTCCAAATGCTGTGCTCTGTGCGATATCAGTTTTGCTATCTGATCTGAGTTAAAATCACCTAGAGAAGAAAATAATTAAGTCAATGTTGGCAGAGTGGGAAATAATGCATTATTTTTTTAATGCATTTATAAGCATTATTAAAATAATGAGTAATGTGTTTAATTTTTATTATGCATTAGCTTTTCTTTAATGAAAATTAAGTTAATTACATTTTTCCAATGAGTAATGTATTCTTTTTTACATTATTAATTTTTTAATTTGTAATGTGTATTTTTAAATTTTCAATTACAATTTTTTATGTTAATGAGTAATGTACTCACTTTACATTACTCATTTTTTATTTTTAATGAGAAATGAATGGTAATCGAATCACTCATTTTTAGTGGGCAAGAAAGATATTTTTATTGCATAACACATTTTTTCAATTTTTGTTTTGAATTGGTTTTTTACCAGTAACAGACGTTCAAAATGAATTATTCGTTCATTCCATCGCGGATTCAATACTTTTTTGAGTTTAGGTCGCCTTCTTACCTAATTATCATAATCCCACTATTAACTCCGGCTTAAAATTTCTTGAGTTGGTAGAAGTTTAACGTAAAAAATTTGCAAGAAAATTAAAGAATACAAACAGTTTAAAACTCAAAATTTGCATGCAAATATACTTTGGATAATTTTGATTCGGACCATTATTATAGAAATTAGCATAAAAAAACCGCGCTTGTTTTGATGTCTTGATATCTTTTGAAAGAGTAATCAAAAAAATATTAAACATAAAAATGTCGAAAAATAAAAGAAATCTAAAATCAACATTTTTCAAAATATCAGACTTGGTGTAAAATGCCCCATATTAAAATCACCCCACACCATCAACCCTACCCCTGATCATTTTTTACTGATGTAATGAGTAATGTCTTTCGTTACACTTTTTTTTTAATGTGTAATGTATGGTCTTTCATTCCTCATTTTTTAATGAGTAATTTATTGTTTGACATTACTCATGAATTTTTTTATGTGTAATGAAAATATTTCTCATTACAATTTTTTTTAATGATAAGGCATTCAAACTAGATTAACATTAAAAAAATGAAGAATGCATTATTTTTTACATTTTTGCAACTCTGAATGTTGGTTCTGCAGTTTTAAATGTGAGTGGGTAAAGTGTGTTTTGCCTGGCGTTCTAGGACAGTATATCCAGTAAGTATTCTTGTATAGATTGTATAAAAAAGTACTGACTACTTATATTGCAAAAAAATATTGGTTATGAACAATCTATTTTTTTTTACTCACAGTAGTCACATTTGAATGGGGGTCCAGTAAAATGGGTTTTCATGTGGTTCAAATAGTCGCCATGGTATTGACAAACAAAAGAGCAAATGCCGCATTTGTATGTCACATCTTTAGCATGACTTAGTGCCAAGTGTTGTTCCAGCAACATACTGTCATTTATTGTTGCAAAGCATATTGGGCACTTGACACCTTCCTTTTCATCTGTTTCTTCTTCTAAAAAAAGTTATTTAAAATAAAAATTTGGCATCTAATAGAAATTTAGAATAAAATATTAAAAAATATTTCTTGGTCTACTTTGTTTGCAAAGAAAATATAAAAAGCGTTATAACGTCAAACCTTTAACCTTTATAGGTAAATGATTGCAGTTTAAAAAATGTTTGATGTAAATAATATAAAAAACTATAAACACATTTTTGCATTCAAGAAAGCAACAAGTTTATTGTTACCCATGCTCTTAAGAAAAATGTCACCAAAAATATCATGGAAAGTTTTATATTTTCTTTTGTTTTGGGTTTTAAATAGAGATGGGAAAATTCCCATTTGACGAAAATTCCCGGAAACTTTCCATCGAAAATTCCCGAAATTTTCCGAAATTTTCAAAAAAAAAAATTTTATTGCGAAAATATTTTTTTTTATGCCAGGGATTTTCAAAAATATATAACACATTAACTTTTTGTCAAATTTTATTAAGAAAAATAATTCCAAACACTAGATTTTTTTCTTGGCATTGGGCTATGCCTATAAATAAACAACAAAAATGTAAGAATGATTTTAACTTTGTTTATTGTTTTTATTTTGTTTACCTTTTTTTAAAAAAGTTTTTTGTGATGATGCTTCATTGAGGTTATGTAACATAACTTACATTATTTATACTTCTTCTTCTGCTTTAAATTAACACACATTAAATTCTTATTCAAAGTTTCTTGGCCTTGTATCATGGCCTTAACGAAAATCAGCGGTTAAACATTTAAATGAAAAAAACAAGGAAAGTTTCCAAGGAATGTTTCCAAGGAATGTTTCCGGTAGCTTAAAAGAAACTTTCAAAATGAAAATAAATTCCCAATTGGAAACTTTCCAAAACGGAAAGTTTCCTTAAAATGGAAACTTTCCGATTCCCATCTCTAGTTTTAAACGTTAAAATGGCGAATGCGCCGGGATACTAAGAGGACTATTCCCTTTCTTGCTGTTCATAAACATCGATTTCTTAACATGTATGTTCACCCAACGACAACCCAAACATCACCTATGTTTAAAGTTTTGACCTTGAATCTTTCTGAACAGAGAAAAATGTTCCAGGGACCGAGAGTATCTTAGTTTTATAAGTCGCAGATTGTAAACTAAAATTGTGTTAAATAATTATTTTAAAAATCATTGGTGATATTTAGTACCTATATATTAAATAAACTTAAAAACAACTTAAGAAAATCCAAAATAATCTAAAAATACTTGGAAAAAACGTTTTATGCTGAACTAGCCAAAGAACAGATCTTCTGGCAGGGCAATTAAGTCCATTCTTAAATGGAAAAGGTTAATCTTAAAATAATTATCTGTAACTTATTTTTACACAGACATTTATTGACTTGAATGCCCATGTAAGGAAAAGGCAAGGAAGCTAGGCATTTCTCACATAGAGACTTGCAATGTCGAGGAGCCAGTAAAACAACAGAATGACATTGAGCATAAATTAACATTGAAGTAAGTGGTAAAGGGAAAACCATATTTTGAACTCTGCATTACCCAGTCAACACAGGCTGTGTGGAAGGGCCCCTTTTACAACAGAGACAAAAAGAGGCCAAGAAAAAGTCCAACTCAAACTCTGATGAGTAGCGAAGGTGTAGATTGTTCTTTGGTGAAGAGGTTTGATGAAACCTAAGAAATTTTAAAAATAAACAAAAAAATTTTAGCTCCCATTAAAAAAAAATTGAGATGCATGTTTTTTTGTAATGACTTTAATGAAGAGGTGCATATTAAATTTTATACTAATAATAATTATTGATGATTAAATCAAATGTCATTTGAATGTAGGAAGTGTCTACGTATATTATTTGTTGTGACGGTTATTATATACTTGCCCGCCGCGGCGATTTTTTAATCTAAAAAAAAAATTAACTTATTGTTTTTATTAAACAACATTTTATGGAAAGGTCCAATCGACCTCCGCGACTGTGCTTTTTTTTAAATATAATTTAGTTGCCTCTTAGACATATCTTAAAATGTATAATGGGTTGCATACATACATACTTTCCTACCGATTTATTTTACTTTACTGCCGATTGTTGAGTACTTTACTGCCGATTTCAGATAAAATATATTTTTTCCAAGTTATTTTTATCCTACCAATATATACATATATAGTTTTTAGAAGTTGTTTTTAGACACTCTGCCCCTCTTGTAATATATATTGTCAAAGTCTTGACCTCCCTCTCCCAAAATTCTCACTCACACTCTGATATTTTAATTTTCTGTTTTTTCTAAATAAATTAATTTTATTAAACAATTTAGTAAAGCAAAAATTGTATTTTTGTATTACTATATTTAAAAATTACATTTTAGTAATTCATAAAAATATTTTTAATATTGCAATTAAAAATATTTTTTATTTGTTTGGTGTGACCCCTTATGTGATTTGTCCCATTCACATTTATAAATAATTATTTATCATTTATAATTATAATTATTTATGGGTAGTAATTAATTCATGATTACTAATTAATTTAAGACAATCATTATGCTTGATAATGATACTGTATCAAACATTGCCGCAATTTATGAATATCGCAAGATAAGAAACATCAAATATTGGCTAACAGCACCTCTCAGGCAAGCGTTTGTAAACATACGTTTTTGAAACATCATGTATGTTTACCAAACAGCGAATTTTGGAAACGGAATAGCAAATTAGACACCATGGATATTTAAGAAATTCTTTGAGCTTATATGCGTCTATAGACGAAATAATTGAAAGGAAATAGGCACATATGTTACAAAACATATGTACTTCATGAACATGCATGTTCAACAAAAGGGAATAGAGGTAGCGATATTATCGATAGTCTATCGATAGTTTCGATATTTTAAAAACTATCGAATTATCGATGCTATCGATAGTTACAAACTATCGTCTAGCGATAGTAGAATCAAACAAAATTATTATAACTGTCGTTGTTTTTTTATTCGAAATTTGACGTCATTAAAAATTTGGGGTTTTAGTTGGCAAAATCTAGGGACCTTAGATTTACCAACTATAATAACTAAGGTAAATATTTATATTGAAATACTACACCATGGAGCCTACACAAGGAGCCCGAACTTAATAGGGGAAATTGACAAAACCCTCTAAATTGCACAAATTAAGTCTTTTCACCACCAGCGGCGCTGATTGTCGATACGTACTGACGTCTGCTCTTTTGGTAGCGTTTCGGTACAAATAAGTCAATTGTTTCAGAATAAACGGAACACCAGCGCCCTCTTATCTTAGGAAGATTCTTGTTTACATAAAGTTCGGACTCCTTGTGCTATACTATATTTTTGACTCTCCTGTATTTGGTAGGTTGAAAATGTGCCTACTACGAGTATAAAAATAAACCCCTTATTTTTTTAATAAAATGTTAAACTATAAGGTTTTGAAATTTTAGTGAACTATCGATAGTTAATCGATAGTATCGATAGTCGCTTTTCTCACTATCGATGCTATCGATAGTCTACTTTTTACCACTATCGCTACCTCTAGAATAGACCTTTTAGGCTCTAGTTCTTAAAATAAAAAAATATTTTTCACAAGAAAAGAATTTAAAAAATTGTTCTAAAATGGGTTACCTTCTTCATCAGTCAAACTGATTTTTTTCTTCTTACAAGTTAACATTTTTAAGGCAGCCATTCTTAAGCTTGGTTTTAAACCAAACAGCATCAGTCTTTTTAAAATGAGTTGTTTTCTGTTTTTTAATTTAGCCTTCACCAAAACGGAACTGAAATTGTTTTCGGTACTGTTTGAATCGTTTTTTTCCGTCACCACTATCTTGTCATACTTATTTGTTTCTTGATCTCTTGTTGTGGAAGGCATAATCTAAAAACAAATGACGCAAGTGAAAGGGGCGTGGTTATGACGTCATAGTATAGACAACCTTGTCTACTATGTATCTTGATATGATTAAATTGATGTTATTGGTATAATGAAACACATTCTTCCGTCGACCACATTAAAAACTACGACTGGTCGTCGGAAAAATAGCGTTTTCAACTCGCTGGAAGTGTTCTCGACGCTTAAAGGATTATTTCCTTTTCTATTCGCCCAAAATCCCACACTACCATCTTGTTGAGAAATATACTATTATTACCTGTCCGTATTTTACTTGTAAAACATCATATCTAGTTTTAAAATTGCTTAGCATCCAGTTATTTATTACCAGGTAATCTAAAAATCTGTATAAGCACAATTCACTCTTAGAGTACAGTATATTTGTGTCTAAGTGTTTGAAAACCTCTGCAGGTTCTAAATTATTTGTTGGGAAACATTTTACTAGTTTGTCAAAGTCTTTTTCCCTTTTTTCAATGTCTGCTAAAACCCATTGGGATAATACTATCAGGGATTTTGATGTGGATAATATAAAGCTCTAAAAATGAAGAAAAATTTATTAAGTAGGTACTGGACAAAAAAAACACATCTTGCAAATGTAATGCAAATGCCTTTGAATGCACACAGGCGAAGGCGATGTCCGCATTTACGTACAAAGTTTGCATTGAAAATTTGCACAATTTTTGTGCAATTCCGACAAAAAATGTACACAAAATATATGTAAATTTCTTTCACATTATATTATTCACATATAACGAGAAATGTATCTTTGAATTCATTATTTTACTTCATTTATTGTACATATGTAAAAAAAGGATTCTGGTACTGAGAATCAAACCCAGTAGACCATAAGGGATATACTTTATTTTAAACACAGCTTTTTATTAAGGTGGGCTTGGAGTGACTGAGCACAATTCCGCGCGCGAGGCCGTGTATGATCTTGACAAAATAAAAAGCTGCTTAAAATAAAGTATATCCTGTATGGTCTAGTGGGTTTGATTTCTGGTAGGTACCAGAATCCTTTTTTTAATTTTTTCTCTCAGAAGTACTCCATTTTAGGAAAAAAATATTTTTTATTGTCAAACTTAATACCTTGTGGCACTACAAACTAAAAATCTGTAATGAATTTGCGAATATCTAAATTCATGAATTTTTGAGGTACATTTTGTACAATTAAGCGGAAACTGCATGATGAATTTTATGCAAATGGTTTGTATAAATTTGTTTCAGCTGTGTTTAATTAATAAAATCCCTGAAAATAAAATAAACAATATAATTAAGCCAACTTACTTTGTTCTTAAAAAAATCCTGTAGCTCATTGGAGTCCAAATTAATAATTTCTTTGCCTTTACAAATCTCATCTATATGACTGGTGATCCAATTCTCTACAATATTGCCTAAGTGTTTGAGTTTAAACCTTTGAGTTAAAAAATAAGTAAACAAACAATTTTCTAGATTTAATTTAGTCCCCAAAAACTCAATGCAGTACTCTATAACTTTTGTTAATATAAAATGATCTGCTAACTTCAGTAATTCCTCTACATTTGTATGTTCTATTGTTATTTCTCCTGTGTACATGTAATTTAAAATTGTGTTAAATATTTCGCTATCTAAACAAGTTATCGACAATTGTTCTCTAATAACTTTATGATGTTTGAGAATTGAGTCAAAATATGGTGAACTACATGCTAATACGTTACGATGAGCCTTTATAATCTTATTATTTACATAGAGAGTCAAGTCGCAAAACCTGTTAGATTTTTTTTGTTCATACAACTTTTGGAACATTGAAGAAGACAATTCCAAACAATGGAATGTCATTGTGCTATTTTCATCCATTGTGACTTCCTAAAAATTAATAAAATATAATGTACCTACTTAATCTTTAATTGACATTCTTTAAACATTCTTAATAGAGTTATATAAATCTTAAGTTTACATTCCGAAAACTCATAATATGAAATATTATTTAGCTTACGTTGAGACAATTTTATCTAGATTAAGTAAACATTCTAAAGACAGTTTTATATAGCTAAATTTAGCATTCTTAGGACAGTTATACCTAGTTTTAAAACAGTTATATTTATTTAAATTCATATTTTTAAAACAAATATATCAGTAGTTTTATTATAAAGATGTCAAATAATGTTGGCAAAAAATTCTACATTATTAGACACAACAAATAGGGCCATATCTGTGTTAATTTATTTACTATTATATTTTTACTTTAAAACATAACCATTTTTTATTTTAGACTTTCCAAAAATATGGACAAATTGGACAAATTTCACCAACATTGTTAAACCCCTAAAAAAATACTTATTTTGTTCCGGCGATAGCGATAGGGATTTAGTTTTTAACATATAAATAATAAAAACACAAGTCTCAAAACAAGGGATTTTTTACTGCATCTCACCTTATATTATCACATAGTAAAACCAATTGCTCCCACAACAAAAACGACCGGTTTATTAACAATTTATTACATCTTTTAAAGATTTTGTATAAATTTACTAATTACTCCAGCTCATTTTAATAGGGCATAAAATAAAAATCGAATTTTACAGTAGCGCCACAACATTTGACAACAACTGTTGCCAACAGCATGAAAATTTCTTCCAGGAATCGACAAAATGCTCCGAAAATATGACGCTTAAATAAAATATAAAATCTAAATGTTAATTAATAAACAACATTAATTACGCAGAATTTATCACATATTGATAGATTCTTATTAAGATACAAATTAAAAAAACCTTTTGTTGCCATCTTCACTTGTATTATTCAATGTTGCCAACAACAGAAAAATTGTTGTGCACTTGTCAACCTCATTTGACGTTTTACTTGTGGGCGGTGATAATTTTAACTTTTTTTAAGAAAACTAATAATTTTAGGTATAATTTTGGTTTGTTAAACATTTCTACGATGTCGCACCAAACAGGAATAAAAGGTTTGTGTAGATTTAATTTAATTTCGCTGTGTTAATTCATGAAAACGTGTATTTTAGCTAATGACGAGCTTAAAAAGTTTTTCGGAAAATGTAGGAACGGAAAAGTGCGGTTAATGAAAGTTTCCATAGAAAACGGTAAGGATATTTACAAATATTAGTTTTAATTAGTGTAAATTATGTTTTTTAGAACAATTATGTTTATCGGGACACAAAGATGGTCATAGTAATTGGGAGAAAGATTATGCCTTAATTATGCCATTTATTGCTGAGGATTGTCCATGTTATGTACTATTTAGGTTAGATTCTAAAAATGATTTAGGTTATGAGTGGTTATTTATTAGCTGGGTTCCCGATATGGCCAGCGTTCGGCAAAAAATGTTGTATGCCTCTACTAAAGCAACATTAAAACAAGAATTTGGTAACTCGCAGATCAAAGAGGAGTTACATGGAACAGTATTAGTAAGTTTGATCATTTAAATTTATATTTTAGCTGGATATTTTAAAAATAATATTAATATATTAATTTAGGGTGAAATAACTTTAAATGGTTATCAAAAACATAAAACAGCATTAGCAGCTCCTGCACCTTTATCAATGAGGGAAGAGGAGTTGAATGAAATTAAGAAAACTGAAGTCAATACTGATTATAGTGTTAATAGTAAACAACAGACTTTGGGAGGGGTTGCTTTTCCTATTACTAGTTCTGCTCAACAAGCTATCAAGGATATGGCAAGGGGGTCCTATGATTACTTGCAATTAAGGATTGGTAAGTTAGCAACTTTTGTTTAAATTTTTTTTTTATTTTTTTTAACATGCATATTAAAAATGGTGGCAATTTTCTGTAAAACTTAGATGTCAGGGAAACTTTTCGCAGAGTCAAATAACGTTTTTTTTGCAAATAAAGTACCTACTGAACAATAATTACTTATTAATTATTATAATAATACAATAAATTTTTGGCATATAATAAAATTATATGAAGTTATTCTCTACATCAAAATAATTACCTACTGAAGTTTGAGCTTTTAATATTACGTACCTACTAATGTACTAGTAATGATTTTTTGAATTTTAACAATTTTTTTTATCTAAATGTTTTATAAAAAACAAAGATTACTGTTTTTTGTAAAAATTCTGAGCTTCTTTATTATAAGTAACAAAAGACCCTCAAAAAATCAATTAAAGTGAAAAATGCGATTTTTATTAAAAATTTGATATTTTATGCCACAAAAGCATACTTACATACATGTACTATTGCGGCTGATAAAAAGTAATCGATTCTTTATCAAGTTGCACGTTTTTCTTAAAAATTGGCTATTGTAAGTAGGGTTTTTTATGTCAGTCATGTCAATTAAATTATTTTGACAAGAAATCATAGGTGTATGACATATTTAATTTTATAATAAAAAAAACTTAAATTATATAAAGCATGTTTATTCGTAATACAAACAAAAAGAACAAATTATTTATTGGGCGACCAAAATAAATAAATTTAAACTTAAAAATAAATAGTATACTATGACTATAACAATTATAAAAGATGAGCCAACCAGGGTTGGATGGGCTCAGAAAAACCGGCCCTGGCAATTTTTTCATTCAGCCCTCCCTCGGGCATTATCTTACATAATCTTACACATTTGTAATGCTATAAAAACTCCATTTAAAAAAAAAAAAATTAATACTTGGTAGAACCACCATTCTTCTCTATAAAATTTTGTAATCTCCTAGGCATGGAACTAATTAAATTTTGCATATCGTAATTTTCTTTCAAATTGTTCCACTTATTTTGAATTTCATTAATAAGGTCTTCTCTATTTCTTGGTCTAAATTCATATTTATATATTTTTTTACGAGATATCCCCAAATATTTTCGATTGGGTTTAAATCGGGGCTTCTTGACGGCCAAGGAAGCGTTGTAATGTGATTTTCTTCTAGCCAATTATGAACCACATGAGGAGTGTGAACTGGCGTGTTATCCTTAAAATGAAAAAAATATATTTTTTTGATCAGGAAAGATAAATCATAAAGTGTTACATGTTGAAACACAAAATCATTATCAAATCATTCTTGCACTGTCAAGAGCATTACATTGTTTAAAATTTCCACGTACCTATCGGTTTCCAGTTAATCAGCCTTCTACAATATGAATTATACTAGCCCCTGAAGATGATATCCACGCCCACACGTGGACAGAAAATCTTCCGCTGTTGTCAGTTTTGTGGAGGTATTCTTCATTAAACTTATGGTTTCTGGGACGATAAACTCGCAGTTGCCCATTGTAGCAGGATTGAAATATTTTTTTATCTGAAAAGACTACTCGCTCCCAATATTCAGCTTTTTGATTTAAAAAATTATTTGCAAACTCCACTCTTGCCTCTTTATTAACATCCGTCAAGCGAGGCAGTTAAATAAACCTTGTTCTCGCAACTGTTTTCTTGCCGTCCTAACAGATGCTGGGAAGTTGGTTTCCTCTTTGGCTTGAATGGAGTTAGAAAATGGGTTTTGCCTCACATATTTAACCAACTCGTTGTCGTTTACTGGGTGTCTTTCTTGGACACCCAGAACCCATTACCCTTCTCAGGTCACCAGTTTCCACCCACTTTTTGTTTAATTTTTGAATAGCGCTTTTGCTGCAGTTTATTTCATCTGCTATTTGTTGTTAAGACCATCCTTATCCAATTTTGGCGATATTATAGCCTTTCTCTGCTTCACTTAAAGTATGGTAAGGCATTAAATAATGACTTTACTTAATTTAAGATGACGTTACTTAATTTTATAATAGTTATTTATGTATTAAGGGCATAATAAGGTTTTTATGGTCCGAGGCGCTATTTCGAGCCCGAGCGCGTTAGCGCGAGGGCTAGAAAAGCGTCGTAGGACCATAAAAACCAGTTATGCCAGCAATGCATACAAAACTTTATGCACGATTAATATATTATTATTTTTAATATATTATTGATTTTAAAGACGTTTACGTCAAAGAATTTTTGTTATAATTGTCATATTATAATGTCAACTGACATCAGTCAGTTTTAAAGTTTAAAGATGAATGAAATTGAGGAAGCAGCTGAAAAGGCGAAAAATTGCGGCCTGCTGCCGAAAAAATCAAAATCTTTATACGAAAAAACTTACTTCGAATATATCAAATGGTGTAACATTGTTGTTTTTAATTTTTGACGTTTCATTATAGCCCGCTGGGTCATAATAACGCCCGCGGGCTATAAAAAGACGTTTACGTCAAAGAATTTTGGTTATAATTGTCATATTATAATGTCATCGTGCATAAAATTATTTTTGAAATGCCACTGGTGACAACCATATTTACAACGGGAAAATTAGTCGATTACTTTTTATCGGCCGCAATAGTACCTACATGGATGTGTGTATTATATTAATGTTTAATTATTTTTTATTTAAAACAACCATATCTTAAAAACTCATAAAGATAACTTGTGCTGTTTGAACCTAATGATTTGTCATATAAATATCTTTTTTCAATGTCATATACATTCATTATACATTATCTTGCTAAATTAATGATTACTGCCTCAAAATATTAATTTAAATATATAATATTAGGGTATGTAAATACCAATTTGGACTATGGCTGTTTTTGTAAGAAGAGACTTGTATAAAACTATTATAGCACATATTTGTCTAAGTCAAAATGTTTTGGGTCTTCATTGTATATTTCATGACAGTCAGGCCCGTTCCTGGCGAGCGTGCAGTGCGTGCACGCACGCAGGCGCAACATTTCGGGGGCGCAAAATCAAAGAGTCAATCAGTACTTTGTAACGATAAACTTTCTTGCATATGATACTTAAACATACATTGGATAAAGGTTTCTCCCTTTTTTGCGTCGGCCGCTCTTTTTTTCGGTCGCTATAAAACGCCTTTTGCAGCTTTGATATTGGCTGCTTATTTTGTTTTGATATGAGGATCAAAATAAAAGGAGAGAAATGGTCATATTATCTTTAGTATTTGTTTGATAGTTGCAGTTGACGGTAGCAAAGTTTAACAGTAGTAACTCTCTAAAATAGAATTAGTCAAAAATGACTTATTCAATTAGTCTAATTGCAATAGCGAAAAAGCAGCGACTAAATTTATTGTCAATAGCAATTTGTATCCCGGATATTTGGCAGTCAACTTTTTGACGGAATTTTCGGATTCAAGAGACAATTTTACATAATAATAAGCTGTTAAATGCCCGGGATACAAATTTTTGTGGACTAAAGTTGTTAGTGACTGCTTTTTTACTTTGAAAACTAGTCATTTTTAGAGAGTACCTACGTCACTAAAAACTAGTTGTAGTTATTATATTGTTTAGATTGTTTTTTGTTTGTTTGTTTTCCACGCAAAAATTGACAGCTGTTGTCCAAAAATTGCAATTTATATTTTAATTAAGGGGCCGTCCATAAATTACGTAACACCATTTTTGCCAATTTTTTACCCCCCCTCCCCCCTGTGTAACACTCTGTCACACTTGGGCAAACCCCCCCCCTAAAATTACGTAACACTTTGGCTTACCCCCCCTAAACTCAAAAAAAAAAGGACAAAACATATATTTAGTTAATAACAAAAAAAAAACAAAAAATATACTCAGTCAACAGAATCTTAATCTCAAATCAAACAAAAAACTAAATCTTAAAAATCTAAGCTTATTACAAACAGGTAGGTAACAAAATCTTACTATTAGGTTATTAAGAATCACTTAAGCAGTAGTATGGGTATTTTTCAGTCGTCAGAACTTTTCCATGGTGTTGAAATGGCATTTTCCATGGATATTACTTCTATGCTTGCGTTTTCGTAGATATATTCGGCAACAGCCACATTTTCTAAAACATCTTCATCAATCCACTGTAACTCCTGATCTGTTTTATCAAGTTGCACCAAAAATTTCTTTTGTCTTTTATCTGCCACCCTTTCTGGTCTAATTCTTTTAATATTGAGTATATATTTTAGCGAAGCCCCATAAAGCCCACATTTCTTGCAGATTCGTTTCTGCAAAGCTTCTTTTACTGAAGGACACATGATATCAAATGGGACTTCTTTAAAATTCTTAAAGAATAAGGGTGCATTTAACCTGTCCTTTAAAGAAAGAGTACCAAACAAATTCAAGAAGTGTCCTTGTTCTTTAATGGTTAACGCATCTTCATTATACCCTACTGATACTGGAGGAGGCAAGAATCTATTCGGAAAAGCTCTTTAAATTGGCTTCTAAAAGCCGAACAACAGCTGCGATCATCGCATTTCACAATTTGTAAAGTACTGGCTACTTCTCACATTTTATTTTATAATTTAATGAAGGCTCAAAAGTGTTACGTAACAAAGTCGTAAACCCCCCCCTCCCCGCCTCGTAACACTTTGTCACACTTTGAGCAACCCCTCCCCCCCCCCTTCGCGTGTTACGTAATTTATGGACGGCCCCTAAGGGGCCTAGAAGTCAAAGGGTTTAAGTGCATTTTTGTTAGTTCTGAGATAAATGGCTTTAAAGTTAACTTGAATTTTAAAATTCTACAAAAGAGTTTAAAAAACTGTGTGAATATTTTAGTTTTGTTTTAAGACAAAAAAGGATTATAAAGAAAAAGGAATTTTTCAATTTAGCTTTTTTGTTAATTTTTTTTACAAAAATGTACTTAAATCGCCATGCATGTAAGACAAAATTTAGTGGTAAAATGATTAAAATGCAATTAATGTACTAGAACAAAACTTTATTTTTTAAAATTTGGGTTTTACAACAAAAAGTATTATTCATAATCAGAATCCGACGTCTGCTGGCCGACATCCTATGGCCGATTCTATTCCGACGTCGGATCAATGTCAAGTAGGGACTAACACTGAAAAATATCTGTGAAAACACGTAATCACTTGACATGTTTTAAAATACTTGTCAAGGCTTTAGTAGCATAGATAATAGCCTATGTTTAGCAGTAAAAGGTGCACTTAAATCGTGTTACCAAAGATATATTTTAAAATATTTTGACAGGTTTTTAAAGACGATAAGAAATGGCGCCAGGGAATGTAAAATGTACTTATAATTTTACCACTAAATTAGAATATTCTTTAGGTGTGATATTCTGCACTTAGACCATTTATTTAAAAAAGTGCACTTGAACCGTTTTACTTCTAAGCCCCTCAAATGTTAACTGTTACTTATGAAATAGTCTTGTCAAATACCATTCGGGCATCTAACTTTTCCTGTGAAAAAAATCGTTAAAACACAATGCTAAGTAATATTTTTTAACAAAATGCATTCGTGCAGGTGCAAAAATCCTCGTCTTCGACTCGGATTTTTGTTGCCACCAGATCTCATGCTTCTTGTTAAAATACGTGTTTTTTCGATTTATTTCGGAAAAAATAGATGCCCTTATGATATTACTTGTTTGTTTAGTAATTTAATAAATATTTTTTTTACTTAATTTAAGCGTTTTTTTTACATTTTACATTACATATTGCCAGTTTGTCGCAAAATATATATTTTTTAAATTTTACGTCTTAAAATTCAAATATTTAATGTATTATATTTAAATATAAAAGGGGCGCACCAACGAATGCTGCACGCAGGCGCCAGACACCCCAGGAACGGGCCTGATGACAGTGGATGTTGTATAAAATAGGATAGTGGTGATCCTTGAGGTTAGTCCCTGTTGGGGTGTTATTTTCTTAAGAACATCAAATTTGATGTGCTCTCATTGACTTTTATAATGATTTCTCTGTCTACCAAAAATTCTCGGATTATATTTATAAGCCAGTGAGGACATACACTGTCAAATTACTTTTTTATTTGTATTTGTAAGTCCTATAAGAAAGAAAATCTTATTGAAAAGTCCTATTAAATTAGTAGTTATCTTTAAGATAATTATTGATTAATTAAAAAACAAAAAAAAACGTGTTCCCTTTTCTTAACTTTAACTGATAAGCGAAATTTTACTAGTGGGTAAAATAGCACTTTGCCCTAGGGCTGAAGTTAAAATTGGAAAAATTGCGTTTAAAAATGCTTGACAGCTGTCAGATGTCAAATAAAATAAAATTGGCTTAACATTCCTTGTGGTAGTTGAATAAAATATTATGTGCGACTATTGGACAAGAGTAGATTCCACTCGCGTGTTACCTCACATGCTACGCTCGTGCGGCAATCTCCTTTTTTATCCCACTTGTCGCACAATATACTATATTCAAGCATTTGTATACTTTACTATATTTTTACACTCTTTTAGAAATTGAAGAAGAGACTATTCATTTAGTGAAAGCTGAAAACATATCACTAGATAAATTGCCATCTAAAGTTCCTAGTGATACAGGCAGATATCACTTGTATAAATTTAAACATACCCATGAAGGGGATTATATGGAAAATATAGGTAAATTATATATTTTTTATATTATTCTTAATTATTTGTTAACTATTTTTAGTATTTATTTATTCTATGCCTGGATACAATTGCCCAATTAAGGAAAGAATGCTTTATTCTAGTTGTAAAAACCCATTAACAGATTCTTTAGCCAAATTGGGGATTGAAATTGTTAAAAAGGTAATATAAATACTTAAAAAATAATGTTTTATTAAAAAAAATATCTATTTTAGTTGGAAATTGATACAGGCTCGGAATTAACCGAAAAATTTTTGTATGACGAGCTCCATCCTACAAACAGTTTACATCGTCCTCAATTTGCCAAACCAAGGGGCCCCCCAAACAGGGGCCCAAAGCGTATGACACGGCCAAAAGCAGAAAATGGACAATAATAATTAAAAACTATTTATTTTTAGGGGGTATATCGTGAATTTTACATTTCAGAATGCTTTAAGATGTTTCTTTTATTGCGGTTATTTATTATAAATTTTGGTAGATTTAGGTGTTAACGCTCAATTGTGACCACTTTCTTGCTATATTTTTATACTATTATTATATTTTAAAAATTAATATAAATTTACACTTAACTTTGTTTTATTTTAATAAAAACTCTTTTTGTAGGTAACAGTTAAAACTCTGTATTTTACATCCTAAAATAATATCACAAAAAAATAATAAACAACAAACAATTAGGTTTTCTTGACATCATTTGTTTCTATAGCTGATATATCCCTTCCTTTGTCCCCAATTTCAACATTATGAAGCTTTATAACTGTCATTTCATCTCTTTCCATATATTCTCTAAGGCCTTTTCTAACATATTCGTCCTTATTTTCTTTCCAGTAATACTGCCAATATCTAGCCTCTTCCATTGACATACCTGTTAGTTTTAAGAGCCCCATAGTTGCCCCACCACATACCAAACCTAATACTGATCCTAAAATTTTATAATTAATATTTACAAAATGATTGGTTTTTCTTAGTTTATTTCTTTTACCTAGTCCTCCCCCTATAACCCATCCTCTAGGCCCCATGTTAAATTTATACAGGGCTCCGCTAGCACCACCTCCCAACACATACTCCAAAATGCCACTTTTTCCTCTATATGCTGATATAACAGTTGAAACACCACTAAAAACAATATACTGTAAAAACAACATACCTATTTTAAAATATTAAATTTTGGCTTACACAAATGTGGTACTAAACAAAGTAAGCCTCCAGCCCCATCTAAAAGCCCCTTTTCCAAAACTTAATGTGACTTTGTCTTGTAATTTTTTCTAAAAAGTTTAAATATATAATGTAGAATCCTTTCTAGTCAACATTATTATTCTTAAGAAAATTTACGTCACTAGCCTTTTTGTATATATGTTTTTCATTGAAATATACATAAATCTGCGTTCATTTGATCTGCAGCGGAACTTAAATGCGTTTACTAGTTTGTAAAGTGCTACTTTTCCGCACGCGACTGCCGTTGAACTAACGACGCGAGTTTGGTTGAGTGCGGAAAAGACACTCTGCGCGTTTTAAGTACCATATTTTTTCTAGAAGCAAGAGAATCTCGCAATTTTATGTATCCATTTGTAGGAAAAATAACATATACACACAGTATTGTGCAGGCAGAAATAAAAACATACAAACAAAAATACGCGACATACAAATTGTGTTAGTTTTTCCAACTCTTGAGCATAAATACTTAAATAGAGATAAATATAAGCTTACTTTGGCCTCATAGTGGTCTTTAAAAGCGGTGGCTTGATTATTTTGCATAAAATCCATATAAGCTGTCCGACTACTCATTGTACCTCCATAAATGGCCCCCACAAAAGTACTCATAGCTCCTACTTGTAGTATAGAGTTTGCTTCAGGACTAATAGCGCCGAATTCACTAAAATTTAAGATAAATATTAATCATATGGAGGTACTAAATATTACTGCCACTTACTCTACTTCAAAAATTCTTTTTATCCTAAACCAACCGCTATCTTTATCTACTTTAAAATCATCGACGTTTTGTTCTGTATGTGTTTCTTTTTGAACCACATCGCTGTTAAACCAATTTGCAAGATTCATCTTAAATTTGATACTATTATAAGTCTTTCATCTATGATTATAACCTACAAATATTTTGAGGTTATCAATTACATAACCTCTAAAGCATGCAGGACCGTATTCGAGGGAAAAAAGACGTATTGAATATTAGAAAATATATTTTGCGTATATAAATTTTGTTCACATAGACTCACATTGCACAAGCTGAATTCAAGCAAAATACTGTTTATAATATAATATAAATAAATTAAAATCACATTGTATAAAAAGCTGTATATTTTTTAGCCTTATTATTAAGTATTATCAAAATCAATGTCAATGTATTGTCGGATGTTTTTGAAAAATATATCTTTTACGTGGCCGCAGTTGCTGTTTTGGGCAAGTTCTAAACTTAATTCGAGTGGTTGATAGAAATCCTTGTAAATGTCACCGCCAAGTTGAAACTAAAAAAAATATATTAAAATAGGTTTCAACTTTCTTATGAATAAAAATGAATTAGAAATTATGTACATGTGCTAAACTGACATGTACTATGCTCCACCCCATAGAGATAGTATTTTCTTTATGCTCCACACCCAAAAGTCCCACCTTGACATTGAAATACAAATAATTGGGGTTAAGTATCTATATGTCAGTCAATTTTTTGAAAATAATACGGTACATGTATTTTTTATGTAAATACATTTATTGTATTATTTTTAGAAAATAAGACAAAATTAGGGTTGTTTTTAAAAACAATGTTTAAACTGACAGATAACCTTAATCATTTCTATTAAAATGTCAAGGTGGGACTTTTGGGTGTGGAGCATATACTACAAAGTACATGTTATGTAACATAACTTCAATTATGGAGCTGTGTTCCCCAATCAATTGTTTAAGTGGGAGTTTTGGATGTGGAGCATACAAAAAAATAACTATAGTTACTATAGTATATACTAAAAACATTTGCAACTTACTTCTTCAAAAACTTTATAAACGGCCTGAAAAACCGGTTGTTTCTCTGAATGGAAAAACCCTCTAGAACCGTGTATTACAGCAACTCCAAATTTTTCAGCTGGCTTACAAACACTCACATACATACAGTGATCTGGTCTGTAATTATATCTGCAAGTGTATAGAAGAAGTTTATCTGAAAATAGGAATAAAATAAATAAATAAAAACAAGTTAATAGGGCCCGTTTACATTATACGTCACGAATCGTGACTCACGATCTAGTGGGGAGGAGGGTTTCAGACAACTTGTGACGTAAAACAAATGAGTTTTAAAACTCAAAATAAACGTAAAAATGGGAGCTTTACAGTGGTTTTGAACGCTTTACTATTTGTCTTCTGGCATAATTATCGATAGGGCTGTTAAACTAATTTAACAGTTCTATTTATAATTTTATATAAACAAAAGTTTTGAGTTTGACGTTGAAGTTAATTGTTTTAAAAATAACCATACAGAATTGACAGAAACATTAGAAAAATTTAATATAATCTATTTAATACACCTCCTATTATTAATCTATGCCTCCTACAATAACTTTTTTGATCGGTTTAAACGTCAAACTAAAATCTTTTTACTTATATATAACTACGTACGCGCGTACTGAGTATAATAGGTAGGTTATAAGCTGCGGTTGCGCAAAATGTTCCTGCGCACACTTTGTGTGAAATACAATCTACAGACCACAGAACAACACAAATGAAATTTATTTTATACACATAGGTTATGAACTATATGGCTCATGTGGTAAACTAGCCTTTTGGAAAACCATTTGTATGTTATCGACAATTGAGGAGTGGAAATACCAAAAGGTATGTCCCATTTTTTGTAATTTTGCGATTTGTTGTTAATAACATAGTACCCTAATTTTTAAAACCTTGAAGGCCATTTGCCAGAAAACAGTTAGTGCACAATTTTTGGGACACCCTGTACATACCCGGCAAACAATGTTTGGGTTAGAATTGGCCAAAGATTTACTAAACAGATTGAATTTGATTGGACAAAAATTGCAAGTACGTGCGTCCGCAACTACCATCAAACTTTGCCCAATTTCGTTGAGCAACAGTGTTGCCAGATGAGAAAAGTTAAAAAATCATTGGATTTTTCAGAAAATTATTACAACTGTACCGTAATACGTTATTCTGGGAGAATAAATTATGTTACTATTTGTGATCGATTATGGTACAGATAACTATTTTATTTTTTCTTTTAAGAAAAAAAATATTACAATTTAATAATCATGTTATATCTGGCAACACTGTTGAGCAACCAAAACCACCAATAAATGTGCAATTTTAAGGCAATTAGATATTTAATTTTTAAATATTCGAATGTGGAACATTTAGCTAATTATTTGACAATTCAATTACCTAAATGACTCAATTTAAAAAAAAATCAAAATTGTGTAAAACAAGGGAATTAATTTTTTTATGGTTTAAGGAATTTTAAGAACAATGACTATTGGTTGAGTATTTGAAATAATAACACTATTGTAATAACATTCTTTATTAAACATAATTAAACACACATAAAAAACTGAATTAGGTACTTACTTTTAGTGATGCACTTCACTTTTCCAGCTTTAAACCAACACATATAACCAAATCGAAGAATATGGAGGCTTTGCCCGGAAGCCCGCGAATGGCGACAGACGCGCGAAATTTGAATTCTATACAATTTACAATCTTTATAAAGTGTTTCTGTTTCATTATACCTACTAAGTAAGTAAGAAATTAATTGAATTAATGAAACAACTTTTTTTAAAAGAATATACATAAATAAAGTATAAAGAAAACATGTAAATAACATCCTAACCAAACTTAAGTTTGAAACAAACTGTTTGGTCTATTATTGAGTGGTAATGACTCATTCGCATCGTCAATTATATTATGCAATAAACAGCCGTACGTGCGTCCGCAACAATCGCCAATGTTTGAGCAACTCAAATTGGACAAAGTTTGGCCAAATATAACGCAATCAAATAATTCATTCGCAATGATTGTGCAAAAATGACTCAATTTTTTTTGAATTAAATTGACCCAATAAAATTGACCTAGGATTGAGCCCAATCAAATGTTTGCCGGGTACATATGGAATACTGTAATATATTACATGCTGTATGTAATACTGTAATTTTATATACCATACTACAGCTGACAAATCATAGCAGCATTCGTTTTTTATGAGAGAATAATTCGCTCTAACATAACAATCGCCCACCACCTCTTTTATAATCTGTGCAGACCACAGAGTGCTCCAATAATATTGGACGACATATTATGTCGTCGCCGCTGCTAAATAACCCTCAAAGAATTTTGATGTCCCTCTTTTAAGGGGTTCAGATGAACTCTGTAGGTACTTTTAGCGTAAAAATAATATATATATAAAATAATAATAGGTATATGGAGAAATATTGAGTTTTTAAACATATTTAATATAAAAAAAGAAAACACTTCTTAAGAAGAATAGAATAACAATATGGAAAAATAACAGTTGTCATTAACCATATGTATACCTTGTATAATATTAACATTTACCTGGTATAACAAAAGATAATATTATCTTTGGGTATAACATTTAAAATATTATCTGCTTGTTTGGGGCACCCTGTATAACCAATTATTTAAAAGAAATATTTATTTGCTTTGTTTATAAAAACACATTTTTTTGCCTTTGTAATGTTATTATAAAAACAACCATTACTCAGAATAGTTAAAACAATAACAGTTAAATAAATTAAGTAGGTATCTACTCAAGTGTTTTCCAAGATGTTAAGTGACTTTTTGAGCTGGAAAAACCCTCCAGAAACGCCGAAAAAATCGAAAACCCTTAAACAGTAAGTACTACTCACCTGGATGATAATGAAAAATAATATTAATAATATCCTGATCGCCCCAAGTAATTTTCAATTTGTATTTTTTGTATATTGGCACAACATATGTCTCCCACTGAAAAGCTCTCATCCTTGTTAAATTCATCAACATAACCCCAGAGTTAACTCCCATCTCTCCATAATATGGGTGTTTTGCAAATCTATTGTACCATCCTATATGCGGATCTTCATGCTCTGGGGCCAAAGCTGCCATTTGACTTGCATTCATTTTGCTAAAATATTCCCAAACTGTTTCTACAGGGGTTAAAAATAATGTGTCTGTATCCATGTATAGTATGGAGTCTACATCACTTAACAAAGACTAAAAAAAGATTTTATTAAAACACTTTCTTAAAGCTTTTGGGTTCTTTTTACAGGTAAAAATAATCTTTGAGCTGCACAAGGCTTAAATAATTTCCTCCATTCATAAGAATCCTTCTCTGGAAATGTCAAAGGCATTACATTAAAGTTAAAGGCATTATTTGTGAAAGCCTTCCATTCTCCAAGCTAAAACAACAATACTAATTTTTTTTAATAACGTAAATAAAACATACCTTTTCGTTAAAATTCTCAACTAAATTATCTTCAGCAATAACTACAAAATTCAATTTTTGTTTGCTAAACATTAGGGCGGATTTAAGCATATTTAAAGTCTCATAAAGCCTATCCCCGCAGGCTACAACGGCAACAACAATATCACTCCTAAAAAACAGACCAGAATAATTCAAATAACAAGTTCAATAACAAAAATAAACCTCTTAAAAATCTCATGCCTGGCAGTTTTAACAACTTTTTTCGGTTCTTCTTGAGGAACATTGACCTGTTTTAGCATATAGAAGTAAAAAATTATCAAAGTTATCGATAGACCTATTCCTAATTTGGCGTAAGAGGTAAATTTCATAGTTACGAATTTATTTACATTGTTTTAAATTACAAACATTTTGAACGGTGACGTTTCTTTGACGTTTCGGTTGACGTTTCAGCAACAACGTTGCCAAGTTGGTTTAAAGTTATGCGATTTTCTTTGTTTTTACTGCAAAATGGAATGTAGTATAGCCCAATAATAAATTAATTAACCTTTGTACTGCAGAATAGTGATGTAAGAATACGTATCCAAATATCTGTTGAATCCGAATATTTAAAGGATCCGGATATTCCGGAATCAATCTGTAAATTCGAATACGGATTCGGAATCAAAATTTACCGAAACAAATTTTGAATGCGCGAAGCAAATGCGCTATGAAAAGCCGAGTGTGGATGGTTTCAACCGGCGCTTTCGGAATCGCGCTTGGTCTGAGTCCGCTACTTACGAATCGTAAGTTACGATACCATTGGCGTACGATGCTTATTTTAAAAATAAAGACATGATGTATAAAAATATTGTTTTTAATTATTTAAAATTACCAGACAATCAAGGCATAACTTTAAAATATAAAAAATAAAACAAGGATAACATTCTTTACCATAGTAATTAAAAAAAATCAACTTAAACTTAAACTCTTTGTTTTGTTAAAAAGTACCAGACACTCCACACCACAGAACAAACCCCACTCCTCTCTGCATTCCTTACGCCGTGCCACCCGCTTGCAGCGTTGCGCATTTTATGATTTAACTTATAGATCATAGATACGTATCCGGACAGTGAATCCGAATATCTCTTGGTTCCGAATACGTATTATCCGAATATCAAAAAGATCCGAATATTTACATCACTACTGCAGAATGTATAATATAACTTAAATAAAATGCATTAGCTATAAATCTATGTAATTTATATACATTATAATGTTGGCAACCATGATAGTTGTTGGCATTATTGATTTTATATTGCCGCTGTTAATATTTTTTGACAAATTCAGTGAAAATATGTTTTTTAGTTTTGATATTTTGCTGTAATTACATAATAGGTTTAAATAATAATTATATAATGGTAACAAAAAAGGTTCTTTGTATATATTACAGCAAAAATAGTTAAATAAAACATTTTCTTCTGTATTGTTTTGACAAGCAATTAAATGACAGTTAACGATTATGGCAACAGTGTCAGTTAAGGAGACTCCGAAAAAAATAGACGCATTTTTTCTATATTTTGCGTAAGAAACAAAAAAATAAAGTGTAAGATTTGGTCGTAAACGATTTTTAATATTTGTGTAAATACAAACGTAATTTGTTGTAGGAAACAGATTTTTTCTATGGAAAAAGACGAAATGGCACATCAATTTGCAATATCTGACCAATACATGGTTCATGTGGAAGACATGGAAGGTAAAACAAAGAGAAAATAGTTAAAATGAAATATAAAATTGATGTTATTTTAGAAGAGGGAGATCATTTGACAGCAGAAAACACAGATGATTCAAACCATGATGGGGGCGACAAGATTGGGGCCCCATTAAGGGAACAAGACAGATTTTTGCCAATTGCCAATGTAGCAAAAATAATGAAAAAAGCCATCCCGGAAACGGGAAAGGTAAATAACAAAGTACGGCAATCGCTTCTAAGTTTTGTGGCACTCATTTTTTGTCTTGACAGTTTTTCTTAATAATTTAATTTTAGATTGCTAAAGATGCCAGGGAATGCGTTCAAGAATGTGTGTCTGAGTTTATAAGTTTTATTACCAGCGAGGCAAGTGATAGGTGTCACATGGAAAAACGAAAAACTATCAATGGGGAGGATATTTTGTTTGCTATGAGCAGTTTGGGGTTTGATAATTATGTGGAGCCTCTAAAAGTTTATTTACAGAAATATAGAGAAGTAATTTTTAAAGTTATTGTCTGTGTATACAAATACTTTTTTTCTATTTTAGGCAGCTAAAAGTGATAAAAATCTGACAAGTACAGGGGAACTGTATGAGGAAATCAATGAGGATCCCTTGTGTAAGTTAAGGAGCCCAGCTTCAATTTTCTTCTAGTCCTGTGTAATTTTTTGTAGTGTCAGATTTAATGGTATGATTTTTTAGACGCATCAGTGGCAAGCAATTCAATACACGAGAATGGAGACACAGTGATATATGCATATCAGGACAATAATATTCATCAGTTTCAGTTGGGTTAATTGAATGTTAAGTTTATTACAAAGTTTATTGTAATTCTTGATTTTTTTTAATAGATTTAATTTATTTTTATTGCTAGATTGTGAGGTTTTTAATGTGGATTATGTATGAATTTTTTTGTACTGTAAGAAGAATTAACTATGTATTTAATAAAAAATATGTACAAAATTAATTATATTTCTGTATACAAGTGTATACTGCAGTAACCTTCTTCATCTTTGATAGTACATACAGTTCATTTTTTTTATCTGGACTCTTGTTTTTTAGTTAGGTTGGTGGCTTATGCCAGTTTAACTTAGTATTTTTAGAATTTAAAAATGGTACTTCTGCTAAAGAATTTAATTACATACTTTGACACTGTCAAATCGACAATAATATTTATTATTGTAATTTACTTGTCAATTATAAATAAAAGGATAATTATGCCAAAAATAATAGCAACGAATTCGAATGTAAAAGCCCTTTTGAGGGTAAAACTTAATTTTGATGAAATTATGCCAAATATATTTGCCACAATGGAAGAAAAAGTACATCGCCTTATGGACATTTTTGGTGTAAAGAAGTAACGAATTTGGTTTTATAAATATCGTCACCTGAGAATTATAGTGTTCTATCTGCATTTTTTTTTAAATTGATGTTACCCAGATAACCAGCGTCCTTCCGTTTGCCGGTCAGTTGCCTACTATTCGTTCTCTTGATATGGTAGCCGTTTGCTGTCAAGTGGGTGCCACCATTTGACTGTCTGTAGACAAAAATCTTTTCTAACAATATATTGTGTGCAATCCACCGGCAACCGACGGGAAACCTTTTGCTTATAATTATTGTGGACAACATAAGAGTTTATAGGCGGAAATGTTTCCTGACAACTTATAGTGTGCAACCCACCGGCAACACACGGGAAACCTTTTGCGTATACTGATTGTGGGCAACGGATAGGAAATGATTTACCTATTCAAATTCACTGAATTTGGTGGCAATTTGCCGATAACGAATCAGAAATTAAAATAAATAAATAAATGAAGCAGAGTGGCCTTACCCCCAGCTAGCACGATACATAACGCGAGCTCGTGCGATGTTCTGTTTAGGTCGCATAAATACATCTCGTTGAAAACATACCAGGTATATTGCCGATATATTATTTTTTAATATTGCACATCGATGTATTGTTACATACCTATAACATGACATAAGTACTTGCAACAAACATCTAATGTAAATGTACCAAGAATGTAACTAAAGGTAATTTTAAGTATATTACTTGTCATATGATTAACGGTACCAACAATATAAAAATAAATAAATAAAATAAAAGGCTTAAATACAGGGTGTTTCTTTTAACTTGAGACAGCTCAATATCTCGAGAAATACGCATTTCACGGAAAAATGTCTTAAATAAAAGGTTAATGTGACCAAAGGAGACATTTTTTGGTGCTACCGCTAGCCACCCCCTACCCCTCCTTAAGGGTGAAACGGGGGGTAACTTTGGAAAGTCAAATGGAATGACCCGATTTTTTTCACAGAGTTTGGTAGTACATAAAAAAATGAATAACTTTTATTTGAAAGTTTTTTTCAATTTATTAACAGATGGCGCTGTAATTCAAAATTTAAGAAAAAGGGGTTTCCTTGTAAAATGTATTATTTGAAACGTTTGAAAAACAAAAATTAACATTAAATCAACAATAGTCGGCTCTGAAAACAATTTATAACAAATGTTCGAAATGTCGTCCTTCCATTTCGACACCAAGTGGAGCACCAGCGTCCCTGGTCGGTAAACGTTTGGTGCGGTACCTTAAGCGAACGATTAATCGGACCCTTCTTTATTGACGGTGCATTAAATGGCGAAAAGTACCGGAATTTTCTAGAAAACGATCTGACGGACCTTTTGGAGGATGTACCACTAGCACGGCTCCAAAACATGTGGTACCAGCAAGATGGTTGTCCTGCACATTATTCGACAATTGCTCGAGAGGTGTTGGATCGGGAGTTCAATGGCCGGTGCACCGCGGTGGATCGGTAGACGTGGTCTAGTAATTTGGCCTGCTCGATCACCTGATCTTACGCCACCTGACTTCTTCCAGTTGGGTTACTTGAAAGAAAAAGTTTAGGCTGCAATTCCTACAACTTGGGAGGACATGGTGGAGCGGATCAGGAACGCCTGTGCGGCGATACCGCCCGATATGTTGGCGCGTTGTGTGCCAGAATTCATTACCCGCATTCAAAAATGTGTTGAAATGGAATGACGACATTTCGAACATTTGTTATAAATTGTTTTCATAGCCGACTATTGTTGTTAATGTTAATTTTTGTTTTTCAAACGTTTCAAATAATACATTTTACAAGGAAACTCATTTTTCTTAAATTTTGAATTACAGCGCCATCTGTTGATAAATTGAAAAAAAATTTAATAAAAGTTATTTATTTTTTTATGTACTACCAAACTCTGTGAAAAAAATCGGGTCATTCCATTTGACTTTCCAAAGTTACCCCCCGTTTCACCCTTAAGGAGGGGTAAAGGGTGGCTAGCGGTAGCACCAAATAATGTCCCCTTTAGTCACATTAACCTTTTATTTAAGACATTTTTCCGTGAAATGCGTATTTCTCGAGATATTGAGCTGTCTCAAGTTAAAAGAAACACCCTGTAGAGTGAAATTATAATTTATTTAAATATTATTAGTGAAAAAACTTTAAAAACAATCGAAATTTCATTTATTAATATCTAGTATTATTGATGGTGATAATAAAATCTATCAATGTTATGTCAATTTTGCATTTATCAAGTTGGAAGCCATTCATTTTAGGTTATCTCATGTTCTATTTCCCACCAAAGAACACTTCTTTTTCTATGGCGTTTATCTCTGATGCTAGCGTGGTTTGTTCTGTAAGTAGTTTACTGTGTCTATGCTGTGATCTTTTTTACTTATTCTTTTGTTTTTTTATCGGTGATTTTGGGACATCCTGTATATATGAAATTAAGTGGGTTTTCCGATGGGTTTTTCTTCACTGATAAAAATGGTTTTAGTGGCAAGGGGTGTACCACAATCCACAATTTGTGGATTGTGGGGTGTACTAAAGTTCATTAAAAAAGTCAGTAATCTGTATGCATGGCAAATGCGCTTGGCAGGTAAAAAACTGAAAAATAATGTTCAGTTTTTCACCTGCCAGACGCATTTGCCATGCTTACAGATTAGACAGACCTTTCTTTTTGATAAGCTTTAGTAAACCTCTTGCCACTAAAACCCATAAATGGGAATATATATTTTGTATCTAAATTTGTTGTTTTTATTATTATTTATTTATTTATTTATTTATTGCCCAACAGAACATGTTCCAATTACAGGACGAAATACATACATAGAAAAGAAATTTGTTAAGTATAATATATTATGGATAATATTAAAATTAAAGTAAAGTATAATTGCTAGTGCACTAACTAAGTATACTATTAAAAGTCTGGTAAAAAATATCACATGAGCTACAGTAAATATTAAAGTATCTGCACATTCTCTGAACGGGTGAATTATACATGGCATTTATTCTAGGTGTTTTATATGTAAAAGTTAATTGACTACGGCTTTGAAAAAATGGAACACGCAAATTCACAGATTCAAGGAGTGCTATAGAATCAATCTGGTTATGCAACAGTCCATACAAAAACTTCAAATGCATTATTATTCTTTTTAGCTCCAAAGGCAGTAAAGAAAATCTATTAAGAAGCTGCAAGTGGTTTGTTCCTCTAGCAGAATAGATACCGTCAAGTCTAAACGAAACAAATTTCAAGCCTATCCTTATAAATATTGTATTGCAAACTTCAAACAATACAGCAGTATTCCAGCTTAGATACAACAAATGCGTAATAAAGAGACTGAAATGTTCTAATATCTCTAAAACCCCCAGTATTGCGAATTAAAAATCCCAAGCTTTTCATAGATCCAGAAGCAATGTTCTCAACATGATTGGAAAACGTGAATTTATTATTTGTACAGTGTGTATACAATTTTTTTTTAGCTGAATATATTAATTTATTATAAGTAGTTTTTTTTAATTTCTTTAGAACTTACATATTAAGCAAATTACTTTGTGTTTTTGTTTTTCTTTTTTATGCATTAATACAGGCATCCGGCAAATCATTTCATGTTTTTATACTTCTTTTTTTAGTATTTTTTATAAAATGTAGAAAAACTTAAATTTTTAGATAAGTTTTGTTACATTATAAACAAATTTGTTTATAATGTAACAAAAATTATCTAAAAATTTAAGTTTTTTTACATTTTATAAAACAAATACTAAAAAAAGAAGTATAAAAACATAAAATGATTTGCCGGATGCCTGTATCTTTTGCTAAAGCCTTTTTATATCAATAAGTTACATTCATGGAACATTACATCTAAACATAGCATGCATGTTTTAAAGTTACTTTAATTGATGTTTCAAACTAACGTTTTCAGTACGTAACAAAGTAACATCTCGAAAACATATTACTTCACACATAATTTTCACATTATTCACCATTGGACAACATTTACGTTCACAAAAAATTTTAATTTCTTTTATATAAATTCTTTTCAAAGCGAAGATTATTATCCGCCAGGAATACTTTCTCTTCTGGGCCGTAAAGCAACCTATATTTAACTACTTTTTTATATGATTTTACTCATCCAAGCACCACCAAAGCCAAATTAATTGCATTTTTAACTACGACTTTCGACAACTCAACTTGACAACATTCATGGAACATTACATCTAAACATAGCATGCATGTTTTAAAGTTACTTTAATTGATGTTTCAAACTAACGTTTTCAGTACGTAACAAAGTAACATCTCGAAAACATTGTCCAATGTAAACATGTTGCGGAAATTCGGAGGTTGCCTCAATAGACATGCGATATCAACAGTACATTGCACGGGAGGTTTAATGTACCCAATTTTACATCGCTGTACATTGTTGGGATGTTTCTGTGCTAGCTGGGCCCAAAGATAATACACCCCACAAACATTTATTCTAAAATGGGGTTATAATTTTAGGACAATATACATATATATATATATATATTTGGGTGCTTTTTTTAACAAAGTTTTTCATTTCCGAAAAATATATTGTCCTAAAATGATGGTAACATCATTTAAGAAAAAACATTTGTGGGTTATGCCATTCTGGTTCCAAACGCTTCATTTATTC